GTAGCTGAGGAGAAAAGAGAAAATTGATCCTCATTGGAGAGATGTTTACCTTCCCTCCCTGTGTTACTTGGTCTCTGGGACCCCTGTCCTCAGGCCAGAGGTTGTCTCAGACATGTCCCTGAAGCCCATGCTGGTGTCTAAATGCTGTAGAGGGCTTGCTTCTCTGGTGCTGTTAGCTTGAGGACCCAGCATTCCATGCTGCCATTATAAATTAGTTTGGGAATTGAATCATTGCTTTAAGAGTCTGTGCTGTCAAAAACATATACCAGGTTGTAAAGAGCTGAGTTAACCAAAGCTCTTTGGAACACAAGTGAGGATTGCTCTGCTTCCTGACATACTTGGCCAGAGACATACAGTCCATTAGCTGCCTGCGGCGCGATTTCTTTTGTTCCAGTTTCCTGAGTTGAAGCTAAACTAGATTAACTGTGTACTTAATTTAGTTAACACTAGTGTTTTGGTGGTTATTTTTTTAATAGGAGAAAAATAAAGCTGGAGATATAAAAACAGCTGCTGAGAAAACAGCTACAGACAAGAAACGAGAACGGAGGAAAAAGAAATATCAAAAGCATATGAAAATAAAGGAAAAGGAGAAGCGGAGGAAACTGCTTGAGAAAAGCAACCCAGAACAAGCAGGGAAATACTCCAAAGCAATAGCTTCAGAGAAGTTAAAACAGCTAACCAAAGCTGGCAAGGCTTCCTTAATGAAGGTAAGGACAAGGGAAGAAAACTGCTGAAGGAGGGACCTTTGCAGAAGGGGATGGCCAGTTTGGGGAATGTCTACTAGACTGAAATGTCTGGGCCAGCTGGCAGCCCACCTGCAGAATTGAGAGGCCCACTGCGGACTGGCTGGAATTGCAGCCTTAAACCCCCTTGAGTTTTTCATGCAGGGTCCTCGCGGTAACATGAGTCCTGGTAGCAGTTTGTCTTCCACTTCCTTCTCCCTTAAATTACAAGAATTGTAATTTGTAAATTGTAATTGTAGCAGCATAGGATGTATAGAATACCTTTATGCTAACTGATTGAATTTTCTGTAATTCTGGTCCTTTTTCATATTTATACTTTTATACATTGTTGTAATCATAACATACTATTATATCTTTGGCTGTTCACTTATAAGCATATTTTATAGCATGAGCATATTTTGTTTTTAATTGCAGGATGAAGGTAAAGACAAGGCCTTAAAGTCATCCCAAGCATTCTTTTCTAAATTACAAGATCAAGTAAAAATGCAAATCAATGATGCAAAGAAAACAGAAAAGAAAAAGAAGAAAAGACAAGATATTTCTGTTCATAAATTAAAGCTGTAATGTGTTTTAAAAGTAATGTAAATATTAATATGTAAGCTTATATTTTGTCATTGTTCTGTTTTATAATAAAAACTCTTGAGAGCCTGTCTTTGCATCGATGGCAGATTAAGAATTCCATGATGTGAAAAGAAAAACTCCAATCGGGGCCGGGCGCCGTGGCTCACCCCTGTAATCCTAGCACTCTGGAAGGCTGAGGCAGGAGAATTGCTCAAGGTCAGGAATTTGAAACCAGCCTGAGCAAGAGCGAGACCCCATCTCTACTCAAAATAGAAAAGAAATTAATTGGCCAACTAAAAATACATAGAAAAAATTAGCCGGGCATGGTGGTGCATGCCTGTAGTCCCAGCTACTTGGGAGGCTGAGGCAGTAGGATCGCTTGAGCCTAGGAGTTTGAGGTTGCTGTGAGCTAGGCTGATGCCACAGCACTGTAGCCCAGGCAACCGAGTGAGACTCTGTCTCAAAAAAAAAAAAAGAAAAACTTCAATCTGTTTAGAAAACCCATCTGATTATCTGATTTTCACTGGGCTCTCCAGGCCCTTTCTGCACAGGCACTGCCTGAGCTGATCCTGCTGCGCTCTCACCATGGCCCGGGCCTATGGGAAGGTCAGGCCAGCTCGTGTGAGTGGGCCGGTGAGCAAGAGCTGGGCTGAAGGCTGAGAAGGGCACAGAGCCAACCGTACCACTCACAACCAGCTGTGCATAGGAGAGGTCCTTGCTCTTTGGGGTCTTGATTTTCTTCTCCCACTGCCCTGTCATCATTTCATAGAACAGTAGCACTTTCATGCAAGTGCCTTACTTTTTTCCCCTTTGAGAATTGATCTCAGGTTATGTGAGCCAAGGCTTAGCGTCAGTTATACAGTACCATCTATAATCAGCTGCGGTGAGGACAGGTATGATCTAGAAGTGAATCTAGAAGCTCGGTGCAGTCAGGAAGGTAGACTGGCATCTGCAGTCTTCTCTAACACCAGTTGCTCATTGTTTCAACCTTCCCATCCAGAGAAAATTGCCTTTTGTCTGATAGGCTCTCAATGATTTGAAGGAAATGCATTAAGCCTTATTCCAGATGGGTAGAGAATGAGGACTAAAAATCAGCCAAAGCAACAAGGAAAGCCTTTCTGGATTTTTATCTCCAGGGGTCAATCACAGTGGCCAAGAAGAACCTAGGGGTTTGCACTCTGCATTCCTGTTTGCTAGTGCAGAGGCTAGCTCTATCTTCTAAATACATCCAGAATATAGCCATTATCAATGCAACATTAGCTCTCTGACCCATGCCATTATCATCTCTCCTTGGATTCCTACATTAGCCTTCTATTTTCCCTGTCCTCTCTCTATGCTTCCATGCTTGTGCACCCCCTCCCCATCATCTGTTCTTAATATGACACACAGAATGGTCCTTTTGGAGCTTGTGCTCAAAATCTTTGCATCTCCCCTCTTCCCATCTCACTCAAAGTCAATGCTAAAACCCACACAGTGACCAGCAAGGCCCTGTATCAGGTGCTAGCAAAGCACAAGCCATAGCTGGATGGCAAGTCAGCCACTTGTTTTTGTAAATAAATTTTATTGGAGCACAACTGTGGGGGCTGGGTCTGGAAAGAAAGGATGGACAGATGGAAAGAATGTGAGCAAGGTGAATGAAGGGTCAGGAGAAAACGTCTGCCTGAAGTTGCTTGTTTGCTCTATGTGAAGGTCAGCTGTTGACCTGTATGGAAGTTGTTAAATTAGCAAACGGCCCTGAACCTTTGCACGTGTCCTTAGAAATAAATATGGGGAGGAACTTAGCTGAGGAGGCCGTTTTCTCCTTTAGATTTTGCTTTCTCACCTTCTCTCTAAACACTATGTGTTTTGAGTTAATTATTCATTCCTTCACTACCAAGCTCAGGAGTGAAAAAGCTGCAACACACAACTACACTCATTTTTTTTTTTTTTTTTGAGACAGAGTCTCGCTTTGTTGCCCAGGCTAGAGTGAGTGCCGTGGCGTCAGCCTAGCTCACAGCAACCTCAAACTCCTGGGCTCGAGAGATCCTTCTGCCTCAGCCTCCCGAGTAGCTGGGACTACAGGCATGAGCCACCATGCCCGGCTAATTTTTTATATATATGTCAGTTGGCCAATTAATTTCTTTCTATTTATAGTAGAGACGGGGTCTCGCTCTTGCTCAGGCTGGTTTTGAACTCCTGACCTTGCGCAATCCGCCCGCCTCGGCCTCCCAAGAGCTAGGATTACAGGCGTGAGCCACCGTGCCCGGCCCTACACTCATTTTTTACATACTGTATATGGTTGCTTTCACACTGCAATAGCAGTGTTGCCTAGTTTTGCCAGAGACCACAGGGTCCACAAAGCTTCAAATATTTACTTTCTGGCCCTTTACAGAACGCTGACCCTTGTCCTACAGGATCTGGCCCTGTGCTGATCCTCTCACTCAATTTCTGCTCCAGTCGTCTGGCCTCCTTGAAGTCCTTAGACATCCCCCCTCCCCCCCAGGCAAGCTTCTACCTCAGAGCTTTTATCAAACATGGGATTTTCCCTACCTACAAGTATCTTCTCAACATCCAAACCCTTCCCTCCCTCATGCCTGCTCAAATGTCACCTTTTCAGTGAGGCCTTTCCTTACCACTCTTTCAAGCTGTAATCCCTCATCTCGGCACCCCCCCCCAAGATGTTTCTGGCTTTATTTCTCTTCTACTTCACTAAATACTCATTTTTTGTATTTTCTTTATCTCCCTCTGCTAGAATGTATCCTTTATGAAAACAGGAATTTCCCACCTTTTTCCTCCCAATTGCTCATTCTGTTCACTGCCATGGATCTTCAGCTTCTAGAACAGTACCTGGAATGAGATAAGCACTCAATATATACTTGTTGAATTTCCTATTCATGTCTTTGCTTTCTTTGGTTTGTTTGTTTATTAATATTTGTTCATTGACATGCACTAATTCAATGCATATTCATGAATAATTACACAGTGCTAGCCACTGTTGCAGACAACAGTGATATATTATGGTAAAAGATAATAAACACAGAGTGCCTGATCTCAAGGTTACCTTCTAGGTCAGCCATGGATATGCTGGAACCAGCTGGTATCAGTGTTCCAGAGCTGATTGCTAATTTCTCAACTGTTAAACAGAGCCATTATTAGAAGTTACATTATATAACCTGACAAAATATAGTAAAAACAAAAGTAATAAATACTCAAGACTCATCACATCCTAATTACTACATTTTATTATTTGCTCTTGATGTCATTTACATGGATGTATCAGATAACTGGTGATCAATCAGTACAGTCTTTTGGAAAGTCTAGCACAACACTGAGCTGTCCCTCTTGCTGATTCCCAGGAGTTTGCTTAAGTAGAGTCCAAGCTATCTTGTTGGTTATAGAAGTTGCCTATGTCTTCTCCCAGGAGGCGGTTTTGCTCCTCCACCAAACAGGTTTAGATTGCTTAACCTTGCCACCCACTGGAAGAGGGGTCCCGTCAGAGTACACAGCAGCAGAGAAGGCGTGCAGGGTCGCACAGGGCGGCCAGCCGTTCCAGGTAAGAGATGCTCAGGTTCCCTCAGGGCTCAGCCCAGCCTTAGCCTTTAACTTGGAAAGGGACGGAGATCGATCACTCGAATCTCCACTTGCAGAGCCTGTGGAATCGAGACGCGAGGATCGGCTGCTAATGCCTGGGAGCTCGGCCGCGGAGCCAGGTGGGAGTCGCGGGGCGGCCGGGCCGGGATCGCGCGGCCGGGCACCGAGGGAGGGAGGGAGGCCCGGGCTTGGTCGCGTGCTCTCCCGGGCCTCGGGTTCGTAGCGGAAGCCGTGGTGGTGACAGCCAGGCTTGTGCACAGATGCACGTGACTTGGGCCTTTCGTCTGCAGGCCTGTGGGGAAAGAATCACCTTGGGATACGCGCGGATAGTCACCATCTCAGGCGGAAAAAGTCACTGATGCAGTGGTCTGGAATAGTCAAATTGTCTCTTTTTAAGAACGGGTAGTTTTAGCTCTTAAAGATATCTTAGAAATCACCCTTACAAGCCCAGCTCCTTCATTTTATGATAAGGAACACACTAAGATTTCGTGCCGAGCTGGTCGTAGAGCCTTGGTCTCCTGTCGCAATCCCAGGGTTGTCTCTTCATCCCAGGAGATACTGCCTTTCTGTGTTTTAGAATTTCCCTCCCTTCTTGTTGAACCTATACAAATGTTTTTAATCCACATGTGTTTCATTTTGTAGAAAGAAGAAGTTGTCTAAACGAATAACATGAGGCCAAATAGAATCTCACTTTTGGTTATTGTAAGTCAAGAAAGTAGAAGTAAACCATTGCAATCTTTGACTTGAGGTATCCTGTGTTTTATTATTTGCAACACCCAGTTTTCCTTATACTCATAATGTCGGAAGGGAAATCTCCTGACAATAAAAGGCCTCGTAGAAGCTTATCAATCAGCAAGACTAAAAGAAAATCATCTAATTCTATAATTTCATTTTTTAACAATGCACCACCTGCTAAACTTGCATGCCCCATTTGTAGTAAAATGGTGCCAAGATATGACTTGAACCGGCACCTTGATGAAATGTGCACTAACAAGGATGATGTTCAAGTTGATCCAGTGCACGTTGGCTTAAAGAATTCAAATATGTCCACAGTAGATTTAACCACTGTTGTCTTAGAAGATGCAACACCAAAAAAGTCATCACCACGAAAGACAGATTTAATCCCTGGCCAAAGTGATTCAGCAAAAATGGCCATAAAACAGAAGAGCAGTCCCTACTTTAAAAGTACTGGTGGCCTGGCGTGCAAGAATCAAGATGAGCTGAGAAATCATAGTGTGAAAATAATTTCTTTGGGAAGCCTGTCATCTAAATTGTCCAGAAAATACACAAAGGCTAAAAAATCAATAGATAAGAATGAGGAATTTGCCAGTCCTAGTCCACAGAGTTATGACTCCACAGTTGTCAGGAGCCTGGTTGATAACTGTTCAGAAATTGAGGACACGGATCAAATTTTGGAAAACAGTTCTCAAAAGGAAAACATGTTTACGTGTGATTCTCCAAAGGAAGAGAATATTCCTGAACACATAGTAAGAGGCAGTAAAATAAAGGAAGTGGAAAGCCAAAAGGAATGTGGGAAATCAGCCCTCACCTCTGACTTCTCAGATAATAGTCCTTTGTTATTTTCACTAGATTTAACTCTTGGGAATAAATTAAAGTCTACTTCAGAAGACAGTCTTGTAAGGCAAGAGAGTATCAAAGGTGCAGATAGTAAAGGTGTTGAAAAGTGTGAGGCATGTAGTTGTGAAGAAGTAAAAATGACTGTTGCTTCAGAAGCTAAAACACACTTGTCACATTCAGAGGCGAGCTCTCATAGTTCTACAAATGATGCTTCTAAATGGAGTAACACCCAAGAGCTTCCTCTGAAAGGTGACAATGACTTAAAGAATGAAATCACTTGCAGTATTCCCCTGTTGCAAGAGTCAAGCTGTGATGGTCCTGGTCAAACAACTCAAATGCCACCGAGTCATCCATACTACCTTCGGAGCTTCCTTGTGGTGCTGAAAGCTGTACTTGAGAATGAAGATGACCTGATGCTCTTTGATGAACAGGAGAAGGGAATTGTAGCTAAATTTTATCAATTGTCAGGTATTGTAAGCCTATTTGCTTTCGAGTTTTTGTTTCTCTTTTGCTGTCCTGATTTGGGTGTAATGTGATGGGTGGGCTGTAATCTGATGACCACCAGGAGTCACTGTGGTTTTGTAAGTCTTCTGTGGGAGTGCTCGTGAGAATCTGAGCTACTACAGGTTTGTGTTGAGAAGGATATGCACAGAAAAAAGATGAGATTTTGTTTCTGGTGATGTCTGCTCTTGCATGCTGCACTTTGGTTAAAATGGAAGCAGCTGTTTTTCCTTTATAGCTGTATTTGATGGTTAAATAACAACCTTTTCCAGATTAAAAAATACAGTGTGACTTAGAAAAGTATACTTTGCATTTTGAGAACGTAATCAAGCTTACTGTTAGGTTGTTTTGTTATTTTCACACACCAATTCCTAAAAAAAAAAAAAAGTAAAATAAAATACAAGAAAAAACCACCCAACCTGAGGCATATTTTCTTTCCTCTGGCATTTTAAATTCATGGACTCTGTCTTTTAAGGACAGGGTGTGGAGGAAATGGAAACTTTCAAGCTTAAATTGGTTCATTTAAAAATGTTAGTCTATGCCTCAAAGTCCTTGGCAGCCAGTGGTGGCTCTAAACCAGGTTTGGAGCAAAAGCCACCCTTGTGTCACTGCACTATTAATCCAGAGGGCCATGATGGCTCTGTGGAACTGACCCCATGCAAAGTAGGAAAAGTTTACTTAGCTTACTTGGTGGCCGCATTGTCCTCTAGTAAAATGTAGCCTTGCCTGACCCCTCAGTAAATTAAAAAAAAGAAAAATCTTGAATATTACTACTATTTAAGATAAAGATTTTTGTATGATATTCATACAGTGGAATTACAGTATTCCTTGGATTATTTTTTTTTTTGAGACAGAGTCTCGCTTTGTTGCCCAGGCTAGAGTGAGTGCCGTGGAGTCAGCCTAGCTCACAGCAACCTCAAATCCTGGGCTCAAGCAATCTTCCTGCCTCAGCCTCCCAAGTACCTGGGACTACAGGCATTCGCCACCATGCCCGGCTAATTTTTTGTATATATATTAGTTGGCCAATTAATTTCTTTCTATTTATAGTAGAGATGGGGTCTCGCTCTTGCTCAGGCTGGTTTTGAACTCCTGACCTCGAGCAATCTGCCCGCCTCGGCCTCCCAGAGAGCTAGGATTACAGGCATGAGCCACCGCACCCGGCCTCCTTGGATTACTTTTTAACACATGAGAGATACTTCTCTGGGCACAGTTACGTAATGTATCTGCACAGCTTCTATCTCTGCTTGTGCTGTTCTCACCAGAAGATGGACATAATGCTGGCACAGGGGCTCTTCTATGCAGAGCAGACACAGATCTCTACTGATGGCCTTCATGCAAGTATTTGTGGCTCTACGCTTCCATATAATTGAGAAATAGAAAGTTTCCCTAGTGCAAGTTCTGCATATTGTTGTGTCTTGCTCTCCACAGAGAATCAGGTACACTGTGTCTGTGTGGGAAAATAACTATTGCTTATTGGTTTTGCCTTTTTAAAGAAAAAAATAATAATTTCAAATAAATGTTGGAAATTTAAAAAATACAATTATACCATTTTAGATTTGGCTGAAATTTAAAGATAATGTGAGTAATAGGGAAACTGAGACCAAATAGGTTAATGAAGAAGGTTGGCCAAGATCACTGTCCTACTAAAGCTAGACTTTTTTTTTGGGAAAATTCTTTTCAGATTATTTTCAACCAAAAATAGAATAATAATGCATATGAAACTAAAAAAAGCAGAGAGCAAAATAACTAGAATTCTGGATAGGGCTTTTCTGAGGGAGTAGAAAGGTTGGTGGCTAGAGAACAGGGGAACTTGATTTTAGGAGTTTTAAAATGAGCAATAATCATTACCAATTAGAACTTTTAAAATGTTTTATGCCATAAAATGACACCATTATACTTATTGTAGGCACATATGTATTTCTAATAGAGTATTCACCTCAAGTTTAAAAAGTAAATGATATTTGCATGTGGTTTTTAGAAGAAAGGTAGTATTTTTCATTACCTTTTTCTTAACTTTGTTGCAGCGAATGGTCAGAAGTTATATGTAAGGCTCTTTCAACGTAAATTAAGCTGGATTAAGATGAATAAAATAGAATATGAAGAGATTGCCCCAGACTTAACACCTGTGATTGAAGAATTGAAGCATGCAGGCTTTCTACAGACAGGTATGATTAGTAGAAGGAAATGTGAAATGAAGATATGATCTGAAGAATTAATGGTGGTAATATTAGTATGGTGCCCTCTCCTGGTTGGTGTCTGGTACATAGTAATTAGTTTTTTTAAATTGAGTTTTTAATTTTAGGACAACAAATTATTCATGAAATGCTTAAACCATTCTTAGCCTGAATTAACACTAGAATAATGAAAGATTGTCTCCTGTTGCTTTCTTGACTGTCACAGGTTTACGACCAAAGTCACCTAGGGATAGACGTGTGGGTGTGTGCCACACATGAAGTACAAAGCTCTTTAGCACTCTCCTTCCAGCAAGAACTTGACTTGTCTCATTCAGAGTCCTCATCTATATGATAGAATAAAGCTGGTTTGTTTGAAACCAGAATTGCCTCCAAAATTTCATCTGCCCCCACATGCATACATATACAGCTCTTATAAGTTGGTTGCCTGAAGAATTGCAGAATTGCTTTAGGCCTGTGTGAACACTAAAGGAGAGTCTATCTTCTTTTGTGGTGATACCCTTGGTTGTCTTGTCAGTAGCATTCATTAACCCATGTTGAGTACAATATTGAGTACAGTATTTCCTGAGATACAAAGAAAATGAAAGATGTGAGCCTTAGGTTCAAGTTGCTGACATTTGAGCCCAAAATAAGCAAGGCCAGACGCGGTGGCTCACGCCTGTGATCCTAGCACTCTGGGAGGCCAAGGCGGCGGATTGCTCAAGGTCAGGCGTTCAAAACCAGCCTGAGCAAGAGTGAGACCCCGTCTCTACTATAAATAGAAAGAAATTAATTGGCCAACTAATATATATAGAAAAAATTAGCCAGGCATGGTGGCGCATGCCTGTAGTCCCAGCTACTTGGGAGGCTGAGGCAGCAGGATTGCTTGAGCCCAGGAGTTGGAGGTTGCTGTGAGCTAGGCTGACTCCAGGGCACTCACTCTAGCCTGGGCAACAAAGCAAGACTCTGTCTCAAAAATAAATAAATAAATAAATAAGCAAGTCAAGCCGGATGGTTTCTTGGGGGCAGAGGTTGTAGTGGGGAAGAGTGAGTAAGGATGACGTTAGGGTGGGAGAGGGGCTGGATGGGATGAGATGGAGGAAATTTGGGGAGAGGCATGAAAGCTCAGTGAAGGAGCTTGGATGTGCATGGTTAGGTGGTGGGACATGGGGCCAGTGCCAGTAGGGTTACCTGGGAAATTGAGTCTCAGTCCCTACCTGACTCAGATCGTCTGGTGCACATTCCGTAAATTGACAGGTCTGACAGGCATGCCAGTGACTGCTGCAGGTGAGCCTTGACTTACCTTTAAATGATGTTTAAGCAACCAAACCATAACTCCCAGGGCTCACCATGGTACTTAGTCAAGTCCAAGTCCTACCCATGCTCCAAGTAGCTCCATGCAGCCTGGCTCTGGCTGTTCCTCTGACCTCATCTTCTGTCCCATTTCTCTTGCTCCCTCTGCTGAGGCCACACAGCCCTCAGTGTTCTTCACCAGGCTGAATGCACGCTTGCTACAGAGCTGAGGGCTGGGGAACCTTGCAGCCTCAAGGCCACATGTGGCCCTCCAGATCCCCAAGTATGGCCCCTTGAACAAATCCAAACCTCACAGAACAAATTCTTTTAATAAAGGATTTGAATTCAGTCAAAAGGCCACACTCAAGGACCTAGTGGCCACACAGCTTATCCTTCATTTCGTTCACCTCTGTTCCGTGTCACCTCAGCAGGGTTGCCTGACCACCATGTGTAAAAATACAGCCAGCCAGCTTGCCTTCCAGGTTCAGTTTGAGCCAGTTTTCTTTATGGCAGTTATTACCACCTGACTTATATACCTATTTGTTCAGTTGTGATGTTAGGAGGTAAGCTCCTGTGGGCAAGGACTTTGTTATTTTTTTTTTGAGACAGAGTCTCACTTTGTTGCCCAGGCTAGAGTGAGTGCCGTGGTGTCAGCCTAGCTCACAGCAACCTCAGACTCCTGGGCTCAAGCAATCCTGCTGCCTCAGCCTCCCGAGTGGCTGGGACTACAGGCACATACCACCATGCCTGGCTAATTTTTTTTATATATATTATTTGGCTAATTAATTTCTTTCTATTTTTAGTAGAGACTGGGTCTCGCTCTTGCTCAGGCTGGTTTTGAACTCCTGACCTCGAGCAATCCGCCAGCCTTGGCCTCCCAGAGTGCTAGGATTACAGGCTTGAACCACCGCGCCCGGCCGAGTTTGTTAATTGCAGCATACACAAGACCTTAGAATGTTACTGGGCACACAGGGTACACCCAGTAAGTATTTGTTGAATGGAGGAAGAAGGTGCTGTCCTAAATTCTGAATGCCTTGAAGGCAGAGACCAGGCAGGTCTGATTCAGCTGAATCCCTAGGCCTAGGATGGTGTCTGGGGCCCTGGGTAGCAGGATGTGTTCATGGATGCAGAGGCCCATGGGATGGGGAGGACTGATGATCAGGTCACTCTGTGACCTGGTGTGAGCGGTGCCACTGGCAATTTTGTGATGAGAAAGTGAATATGTATTCCAGTAAACTTTTAAGTGGGATGCCCAAACCGTGTTGCTATCCATGTGTTTTTATTTTAGTAACATTTTCTTTTACTTTTTAGTGAGAAATTCAAGTATTTGGTAATTTTTAAGAGACATATATTTTCTGTGTTCTTTAGTAATTTATTTGGCAAACTAAAATTTCTATAGTAGAATTTTATTGAATTGTATCTGACTGGAGTAAAGAAAGCTAGAAAATATTAAAATTTTTAAAACTATTTAAAAAATTTTTTTAACCATTTCAGAATCTGAGTTGCAAGAACTCTCTGAAGTGCTTGAGCTCCTTTCTGCTCCTGAACTAAAATCCCTGGCCAAGACCTTCCACTTGGTGAATCCCACTGGGCAGAAACAGCAGCTGATGGACGCCTTTCTCAAATTGGCCAAACAGCGTTCAGTTTTCATGTGGGGCAAGAATCAGCCTGGAATTGGTGCAGTGATTTTAAAAAGGTTTTGTTGGCTATTATTATAGCAAAAAACATTTAAAATGTTGACAGCATATATTAACTTACTATAATAAATTGTATACTTTTACTTTTTTGAATTGTAGTTGCTTATTTCAGTTGCCATTAGATTAAGAAGGCTGAGAGAACCTTGTTTATAATAGTCTGAATTCTTTCTGGGCTTATTATTCAGAATTCTTGTACTACTGTACTGACTTCCAGAACCAAGAAAAATCAGTAGGCAATAGGACTTTGGTAAATTCTAGTATTTTATTATTCAAGAAAAATAGAGTTTTAGCTGTGATTCTTACAGGATTTTAGGATAAACTATTCAGTCAAATTTTTATTTTAGTAAATTTTTGGTTTACTAAACAAAGTGTAATCAGGCAATCTTAATATACAACTTTTCTTGAGTGTAAATATAGCAATTTACCACAAACTGCAGGTGGTTTCTTTTGTCCTTGGGAAGCCCTTGAACTCTTTCAGGGCTTCAAAGAGCCCATCCCCATTGGAAAGATATTATAAAGACTAATTAATAAAACATAGGTATAATACAGCAGACATTATTAAGAAAAATATTAATACCAGTGCTTCAAAAAGTTTATATTGTAGATTTTTAAAAAATTGTTTTAATAAATTGAATATTTACATAAAGTTAATTGACTTGATGGGTATAAAATCCTCATCCCTGTAGTATGTTAAACAATCTTGAGTCCTTTATCTAGTTTTATTTCTAAAGTATTTGCTGTGAACTTTATAAGTAACATTTTATAGGCACGTAAACATTGAAATTAGCAGCCCTTTCTAGGTATATGCACTTAGCATAGCACAGATATAATAAAAGAAATAAAGATGAACTTTGTTTTTATCACTGACTCTGGACTTGTAGGAAAATAAATTTCTCAAGGCTGTTTTAGTTATAGTAAAAATCATTGTCCTTTCAGATGTACTTTATTTCTTCATTTTGATGTAGAGTTCAAAAGCAGTGGAATTTCAGAGAGTCCCTGCCATCCCCACACCAGGGCAGTGCTTGATGATCTTACTTTGCTGTTGCTGTGAGGAAACAGGAAAGGCACATTATTTATACTTTTCTTAATTCCAGTTGAGTATCTGCTTAGTTTTCCATGTTTAATGCTTCCCCTTGCAGCTTGGAGGCTGCATCCACTGGGGACATCCCTGGAGCTCTGCATGGAGGTGGAGGAAGTAGACACTTAAAGGCAGTCTCTGTAGATGAGTGGTTCTCATTTAAATGGTAGTGTGGTAGGAATCCCACCCATGTCCCCTCACCTCTGTGATGGTGGCACTAATCTCTCCAACACCCCCAGGGTTGCAGTACTGCTTTGGTTTAATATGGGGAGGTGTGAGGTCTTCCACTAATTCTCAACTGGCGGCATTTGGCATCATCTGGAGACATTTTTGGTTGTCACCACTGGAGATAGTGTTCCTAGTGGCATCAGTAGGTAGAGGCCAGCGACACTGCTGAGCACCCTATAATGCACAGGAAAGCCCCCACAACAAAGAATTATCTGGCCCAAATGTAAATAGTGCTGAGATTGAGAAACCCTGCTATAGATGATATCTAAGTTGCTAGAGTCCAGAGGGCCCACGTGGTCCTGGATTTAATTCAGACCTCCAAGCCCACCTTGCAGACATCCAGAATTGAACTGAATTTACTCTGATGTTACCCTGCAATGGAGATGCTCCTGGACTACTTTGTACATTAGGGAACAGCACCAAACCTTGTATCTACGTGTACCACTTCTTGGTACACAAAATCTTTACCAAGAACCTTTGATAGTGACATTTTAAATAAATACCTCTTATTTAATCTATTAATATATCATTACTTGAATCAAAAATTGAGAATTGCTAATGTCAAATAGGCCATAATTTCATAAGGGTTTTCCTGGTATTGGAAGTATTCCTCACTAGGGTAAACTCCATCCTTCTCTGTGGCTGGTGAAGGAAGCACTTTCATTGAGCCAAACCATGTGGAGATGTAGGTTTATTTATCCTCTGTATCCCTAGGAGGGCTCTGAGCCCCAGAGAGGTTGAGGAACACTCCAGTGTTTAGAATAGTGAATGCCATTTCTCTTTATTTTAGATGAAAATGATTTGTAAAATCTGATATCAAAATACTTAAAAAATTGAAAGACTATATTTTACATTTTTCAGAGCTAAAGACTTGGCTGGACAGTCATTAAGACTCTGTAAAGGTCCGAGGGCTGTGTTTTCCCGGATCTTGCTGCTGTTTTCATTGACGGACTCAATGGAAGATGAAGACGCTGCATGTGGGGGTCAGGGACAGCTTTCCACGGTACTGTTGGTCAACCTCGGCCGAGTGGCATTTCCTAGTTACACAATCAGTCGGAAAACCCAGATCTTCCAAGACAGAGAAGATCTTATCAGGTAAAATCATGTTAGCTCACTATCATATCTGTCTGCATATTTCAAAATTTAGTAAAACATTATTATTTTTTCAGCAGCCAAACTAGAAACTTTAAGTCCATAGCCAAAACAGTTTTTGAAGTTTATTTTTTGCTATCTTTTTGGCCTCACTTGTATACATTTCTAAGTCATAGGGAGAATACAGAAATGTGCTCAGATTAAGGGTGCCAAAAACTAAGGAATTTTGAGTTAGAGCTATAAAAAATTTCCCTGGCGTATGTTCCCAAATTGCTTTGGCAGGGAGTATTTTTTTAATACAGGCACTTTAACAAGTCTGCCTTATGAATATGTTGTTGTCCTGAGCAAGGTTGAAGGTGAATGTTTTCTTAGTCATAATACTTTGGATAATTCTACTTGTGTACTGTATATTAGAATCATATACATGATAAATTAGAAATTTTCACTAATTTATATTGGTACATGGATTTAGTCAAAATTTAGTTTGACCAGCAAAAGTAGGTTTTCAACTAAAAATAGAACTACCATATGTTCCAGCGAGCCCACTACTGGGTATTTATCCAAAATAAATGAAATCAGTATGTTGAAGAGATATCTGTACTCTCATGTTTATTACAGCATTATTCACAATAGCCAAGATATGGAATCAACCTAAGTGTCCATCAGCAGATGAATGGATAAAGAAAATGTGCAGCTGGGCTCAGTGGCTCATGCCTGTAATCTCAGCACTTTGGGAGGCCAAGGTGGGAAGATGGCTTGAGGCAAGGATTTGAAGACCAGCCTGGACAACATAGCAAGACCCCACATCTACAAAAAAATTTAAAAATTAGCTGGGCATGATGGTGTGTGCCTGTAGTTCCAGTTACTCGGGAGGCTGAGGCAGGAGGATTGCTTGAGATCAGGAGCTTGGGGCTGCAGTGAGCTATGAATGCGCCACTGTGTTCCAGCCTGGGTGATAGAGTGAGACCTTGTCCCTATAAAAACAAAGAGGAAGAAAATGTAGTGTGTGTATATATATAGTGTATAGTATAGTATATATATGCACAATAGAATACTATTCAACCATAAAAAAGAATGAAATTCTGTTGTTCATGGCAACATGGATAGGCTTGGAGGACATTATGCTAAGTGAAATAAGCCAGGCACAGAAAGACAAATACCGCATGTTCTCACTCATGTGGAAGCTAAAAAAGTTGATCTCACAGAAGTAGAGAGTGGGATAGTGGTTACCAGAGGCTGGGAAGGTTGGGGGCGGGTGGGTAACCGAAGTTTGGTTAGCACATATAAAAGTGCAGCTAGATAGGAATAAGTTCTACTGTTCTACAGTACTATAGGGTGATTATAATTAACAATTTATTGTATATTTTCAAATAGCTACAAAAGTGGATTTGGAATGTTCCCAGCACAAAGAAACGATAAAGGTTTGAGATGATGATATGCTTATTACCTGATTTGATCATTATACATTGGATACATGTAAACATCATAGTGATCATACCATACCCCATAAATATGTATAAGTATGTGGCAATTAAAAATAATCATAGAAGCAAAACTAATAAGCAAAAAATAGGATTACTGTATTTAAACAATAGATTTTGATAAGAAAGAATAGTGTAGGTCTCACAGGAAAAAATACTTGAATTTTCTAAAAAAAGAAAACACTGTCTATAAGAAAAATTAATTTGGATTTCCTAAAATGTCACTTTTGATTCTTGCTCTAAGATTTCAGACTCAAATTTAACCGAAATAGATTCTGATATTTGCTTTTTGGGAAGTCCTTTAAGTGTTTGTAGAAAAGTCATGTGCTTTAAAAAGTAAGTTATTGAAATTATAGAATCAACTGATTTTAGCCCATTTTGCCTCAGCTATCAGGAAGTTCAGTATCTTATTTGTGTTTAACTGGAATAACTTTTTTAGTTAAATCTTCTAATCTGTTTCCTCTTACCCTGTTTTCAGTTGTCTCATGTCTTTTTACCTTTTTTGTTTTTAGTGGCTTTGTGCTTTTCTAGTTGTGAGCATGTGTACCCTGAAACCAGGTTACAGTCTCTTTATACTAATGAGCTGTGAACCCACACTATGCCTCAGTTTCCTCATGTGTAAAATGGGGAGAATAATAGTATATTCTTATAGATATGTGTTGGTGCATGTGAAGTGCTTATAGCCTGGCCTGAGGGGGGTGCCTAGTACAGGTTAATTACAATTATAATTGTCATTAGTACTGTTATATTTAAGGGGGATTACTTTCTAGTTCTATGACAAAAACATAGTTGACAAGTTGTTATAAAAAGTGGGGAGGGAGACTAGGGAGAAAAAATAAACCATCTTTCTAGAAAGTAAGTATGCTGTAAGTAGTAAAAATAATTAAAACCCCCTTTGTTATGCAAAGGGCCTTAACATGTAAATTAAATCGGATTTAATTGACTTCCGGAAGGGTAATATTATAACAATATCCGGTAATGTGATACCTGGCCTGTCTACCTCTGTACTTGAGATAATTTATCCTTTCTTTTCTTTTTTCTCATTTATTCAATAAAAATGAGTGCTGAGTACCTATCATGTGCCGGGGTAGTGGGGCAGCAGCGCGAGCAAGATAGGGCCTCGGCCAGCATGGGTTTATGTTTCACTGGAGAGACAGAAAATAAAGAGAGTAATTAGAGTCTGTGAAAAGTGCTGTGGTAATCGAGGGGCGGGCTGCAGAAGTTCTACTTGAAAGAGTATCAGGGAGAGTGGCCCTGGAGGAGTAGGACTTGGGAGTGAGAAGGAGGTAGCCACTTCAGGGTCTGGGTGCCTGTGTCCAGGCAACGGGGTGAGCGTGTGCACGGGCCCTGAGGCAGGAAAGAGCTTGCCGAGTTGGAGAAGTTGAGGAGGTCTCTGTGGCTAAAGCTCCAGGGGGCAGCAGGGCAAGGGCAAGTTAGCCGTGAATGCAAGGATTAGAGGCTGCTCAGCCTCGGAGCCCTGGTGAGCAGACCAAAGCTATTCTCTTGTAACGGGAAGCCATTGAAGAGGTTTAGGCAGGTGAGTGATCCATTTCATGTTTTTACAAAAGCGTCTTGTGGACAGGGGTCAGAGGGGAACAGGAGAAGCTGTGGGAAGGCTGGTGTGACCTTAGTGGTGGTCTCATGGGAGCCCCTGGGGATGGGTGGTCTGGACTGGGCTGGTGGCAGAGGCAGTGAAGAGAAGTGAATACACATACGACAGTTTGGAAGTAGGAAAGACTTGATCCTGATTAGATGTAGGGGAGGTGGAGGGAGTGGAGCAAGGGTAGCTCTGGTGCTTCGCCTTGGGTGGTGGTGCCATCCAGTGAGGGGGTGGGCAGAGGAGCAGCGGGGTGTTGGTTCTGTGGGGGTCATTGTGTGGGCTGCCCTTGAGCCGCCCACTCAAAGCTACTGGACATGCTGTCAGGAGCACAGGGAATGGGTCTGGCCTGGAGAGACCGAAAATTTTGAGAATCACTGGGACATGGATGGTATTTGAAGCCATGGAATTGAACAAGCAGCATATTATAAAAGAATTAGATTAAAGAGTTTGTGAGGAAATTTTTACATTTGAAGGCAGTTTCTTTTACTCTTATTTTACAGTGTTTATACATACTGATAAGATATGAGTCCAAAATACAATGAATGTGCACTCCAAATGTCACAGAATCTGTTGGTCAAATGTCTTTTGTTCTGATATTTAAAAAAGCATTGAGAAGTCTTTCTTCAGCTAAGTGGTGTCATGACATTTCAAAGAATTGCCGTCTCTGAAAGGGTGTCTCTTGAAATTATTTTTGAAATATCCTAAGGAATTCTTATAGCTTGGTCAGTATCCGTCTGGCTACCTCTGATTGATTAAATGATCAAATCTGCATCTTACTATAATTTTGAAGTCAGTTATGTGTTTACATGGTTGTTGCCAGATTGTTGAATGAGTGAGTGAGTGCCAAAAGTCAGGAATGTTGAGCTGACCATTATTACATTTATATAATGAAACATGTTATGTAATAGTGCAGTTTTTTATCTTTTTAGTTGGGCAGCCTGTATCAGTTCTTCTGGCCACTCCAGTAGGGTAATTATGTTAAATTATTACTAGAATAAAGTTTAAATGACCCTCATATTTTCAAAACCACACTTTTACCCTTCAGAATTAGATCTAGTGGCTAGGATGTGGTAATTTTATGGAAACACTCATTCATATTTAAAAGTTGGATGGCATCTCCACCCCAACCCCAGATATGCAGCAGCTGTGCACATGCTGAATGACATTTCTACTGCAATGGCCAATGGGAACTGGGAAGAGGCTAAGGAGCTCTCTCAATGTGCAAAAAAAGACTGGAACAAACTGGAAAACCACCCTTCTCTGAGGTGAGATCTTTTTTTAGATACCTACCAAAATGTACACATTGACCAAGTTGTTCTAACCACTGAAGGTAATTTTCTTCATGAAGAAATACTCCTTTTGCTCTGTGGTTAAACCAGCTGTGGAACTTTATTTTTTACTCGTTTTCATAGAGTCAAAGTGCTGTGTGAAATAGAAGAAGATGTCTGAAAATTTAAAGTGAATTTTATAATATATAATTCAGACCCTTTTCAACAGACATTCAAGTGAACAAATAACTGTATTCAGCTTCTAGCTTGCCATCTTTCATTGTGCTGGCTTCTCTAGGCACTGCTGAGCTGAATTTGAGGGAAACCAGCAGCAGGACAGATGTGGGCAGCACACTAGGTGTGTTCTTCCCATGGAACTTCAAGAAGATGTTATTCTGTTACAGACAGCTCAAGCAAACGAACTTTTACTTTAAACATTCCAAGTACACAGCACAAGATTTTTCATTGTCTTGATTGAAAAACATTAAACATCTTTGATATTTTGTTGAGAAATTATTTCCTTTGTTAAGTTGTGATGAGAAAAATTAATTAGTATTATCAAATGACTCTTTCAAAAAAACATTTCAGATGGACATTTTATAAAGAAATAGTATCAACTTAAAAATCATAGCCAGAAAGTTAGAGTCCTGTAGAACAGAGGCTGATAAAAATTCTCTGTAAAAGGCCAGATTGTCAATACTTTTGGCTTTGCAGGCCATGTGGTCTCTGTGGCAGTGACCTCACTCTGTTTTGTTGGGCAAAAGCAGCCACGGGCCGTACATAAATAAATGAGCATGGCTGTGTTCCAATGAACTTTGTTTACGGACACCAAAGTTTGAGTTCCATGTAATTTTCACATGCCACAGAGTATTTTTGTTCTTTTGACTTACTTTAACTATTTAAAAAGGTAAAAACTATTCTTAGTTTGCAGGACTTAGAAAATCAGGGCTCTGGGTTTGGCCTGTGGGCTGGAGTTTGCTGACCCTGGTTTAGAGTATTTGTAGAGTATTTAGAATAGTTGTTCTCATCTTACTCCACTGAGTGAATGTCCTAGGACATGGCAGCTGGCTGTCCTAGGAATGTAGGTTTATGGTGTAGAAAACTGTGCACAGCCAAATGTACTTAAAATATATCTTAAAAGCTGGGACTTCATTCTGCTTTGTTACTTCTTAGAATGTCTTAAAAGAAATAATCCAAATCGCTAAACTACTGGTGTAAATCTTCATTTTAGATACCACAAGGACTTACCACTCTTTCTGCGGTGTTTTACTGTTGGGTGGATTTACACGAGGATTTTGTCTCGGACTGTTGAAATACTGCAGAGAGTTCACATGTACGAGGTTAGAGCACAAATCCCTGTCCCACTTTTTACAGAGGTGACAGCAGTAAACTGTGGAGCAAAACCTGCCGGGCTGGCAGCATTTCCCACATACTTGGTCGGCACACAGTAATGGGATGAAAGCATATTTAACATAGGCAGCCTGCTGTCTCTTGCGTTAGTAGAGAGAAGACAACTGGAGACAAACAACTGCTTTGCTTGCTTGTGAGTTGCTGAGTGTGTGCTCCAGGATGGCTGCAGGTGGTGGATGGAGCCAGTGGGAGCCCCAAACAGGTGGATGGAGCCAGTGGGAGCCCCACACAGGTGGATGGAGCCGGTGGGAGCCCCACACAGGTCTCTGCAGCCTGAGCCTGAGTCTCTGTTAGACTTCGGTGTGAGGCTTGGGAGCACCCCACAATCTCCCAGGTGGAAATCTCCCATCTCATTATGCTTCCTTGTCAGCTTGTCATGGATTGTCTGGAGATAATTTCTGATCACAAATCAGAAATGTGGTCATATCCTTATATGACCGTTATGAAATTGTTAGAGTTCACTTCTGTTGTATTTGAAATTTCTGCATTGAAAAGTTGTATCTTACAAAGAGTAAATATGGTCAGCTGGGTTCTTGACCTGGGACTGTGAATCCCAAGAGGACCCATGGCTGGGCTTGGGGAAATCTATAGACCCTAAAATTATATGTGTATGGGGATTTAGCTATTTTTCTGGCGTACATCATTACATGTTTCAAAGAGACCCACAAATCATTTAACGCACAGAATGACCAGTCTGTACATAAATCTAGACCAGAGGGTTTTGTTGTTGAGGTGGGGTGTTTGGATGAGGACACTTACTGTCCGGCCTACTCCAAATCCTTCTGGCCATGGATCCCGTGACTTGCTTGGTTCCCAGAAGCATGTGGAAACCCAGCCCTGTGTATTGCTCAGCTGCATGGAATTTGATTATTGTGACTCTAGGCCAGTTGACTTGGTTTGTGGCGCTCACAGACCTCCATAAGCTCAATGCCAGCAGACCAGGGACCTGGGTGAACTCCTGCCCATTCCAGAATGCATCTCAAAGTCCCTGACCTGTCAGTCCAGGGTCATTGGCCTTATTGTAGAATGGAAAAATATGCGTTATAAATATGCCTTACCAATCCTATGGCTTCTAAATATAATTACAGCTGGTTTTTTGTGAGTCTAATAAGCTTTCTTTGTTATTGTTGCAATAGGAAGCTGTCAAGGAACTTGAAAGCCTTTTGTCTCAGAGAATGTATTGTCCTGACAGCAGAGGCAGATGGTGGGACCGACTGGCTCTTAACTTACACCAGCACCTGAAGCGCCCGGAACCGGTACTCAGCAGCAAATCATTCCCGAAGCTTTTTTTGCTTCTGAATGAATTTTTCAAATATGGCAGGCTTTTAAATACTTTAAAATCTAAATGTAATTAGAACATGTATTTCTTTTGTTAACATTCTTCTTTTGTCTGTGCACTTCACACCCCAAAAGAGATACAAAGGCAGCATGAAAATGAAGATAGGAGACTTGTCCTCTCTCCACTGATTTGGGAGATAGGTTGGCTGTGGATTCTCAGTTGGGATTTAGGGATCAGGATCTAGGAATTGAGGGTGAGGGAGAGTCAGACATCTCAGTCCTCAGTAGGTGCCTTTAAGGAAGATGTTTTTATTGTTTTGGAGATGGTGACTTTATTCATTTGTTGCACATGGTCTCTAGGTAGAAGGATTGATGAAAAATGTTCCTTTCCTTACCTTACTTTGTGAGTAACTCTGCACTTCTATGAGGTATTTTGCTCTGCTGTCAGGAGGTGTGTGGTCTGGCTAACCCTGAGCAGGCTGGCTTTTCTGGGCACCGATGCTCCCTGTGGTGGGGATCTTGGAGACTTGGAAGTAGGAGGATTCTGTGGCTGCTGTGGCCCAGGAAGGTGGGGCTGGTGGCAACAGTGGCTCTTTGTGTGGCTGCCTGCAGGTGCCTCTCCCGGGTCTCTGTTCCAATCTTACATTCGAGTTGAATGGAGAGGACTGTGCCTCTGTGGGCTTTTGTTTTTGCCAAATGGCACATTAAGTGAATCAGGGTGATGTATGGATGGAAAAAATTGACCATGGAATATGGAAATATGACATCCTGGTTTTATTGCCTTTAACTGAAAAAGTGCCTTGTTACCTAAAGTGCCAGGGAAAAAGCCAGTGGAAGCTATTTTCTCTCCTGGAGGTGGGCGTGGTGCTTCCTTACCTCTCGGTGTTTATTGAGGCTGAAATAGCAAGAGAAGGCATCTGTTAGCCCAGAACCAAATTTAGAATGTAGAAAGCTTGTGTTTATGTTGACTGTTTCAGTGAAATAGAGGTTCAGAAGATTTTACAGATTTATTTCCTTTTTGTTCACAGTTCTGCTAAAAGCATTCACTCGTTTTCACTGGGAGGACAAACCACTGAGCTTATTATTGAGATTGATGCTAAGAAAATCCTAGTTCCTTTTAACCTTTTCCCAGAGATCTTTCTGGCCACACTCATGACCTTCATTATTTTGTAACTGTTCTTTTCTTGCTTTACCTCAGTTTCCTGGGAAGGAATCTGCTAGCTGAGTACTTATTCCCGCAAAGTGCCCTGTAGCTGGCCCAGGCCTGGCCAGGGCAGAGGCAGAGGTGGCCTAGCCCTCCCTCCCTGTGGCCAGGCTGCCACCCGGAACCATCTTCTGCTGGTTCACAGAGTGCACCTCAGTGTCTCATTCTCCCTTCTTGATTCCCGTTAGTCACTCAATTCCTGATGGCCTGAGCCTTCATTGATTTTCAGTTTTGTGGGTTTTTTTCTTTTTCTATTGTGGTACAATAAATATACCATTAGATAACATTTGCCATGGTAACTGTTTTTACATCCACAATTCTGTGGCATTAATTATACTCACAGTATTGTGCAACTGTCACCGTTATCTATCACTCCAAACAGAAACTCTGTAACCATTAAGCTACTGCTCCCCGTTTTCTCCTTCCCCCAGGCCCTGGTAACCTCTAATCTACTTTTTATCTCTATGAATGTGCCTATTCTAGATATGTCATATAAATAGAATCATACAATATTTGACCATTATGTCTAGCTTATTTTGCTTAGCATAATGTCTCCAAGCTTCATCCACATGTCAGGATTTCTTTTATTTTTAAGGCTGAATAATGCTCCATTGTGCTTTGTACCACATTTTGTTTATCCATTCATCTACAGGTGGACACTTGGGTTGCTTCCACCTTTTGGCTCTTTTGGATAGTGCTGCAGTGAATATCTGTTTGATTCCCTGTTTTCAATTCTTTTGGTATATGCCCAGGAGTGGAATTGCTGAGTCATATGGTAATTCCATGTTTAATTTTTTGAGGAACCGCTAACTGTTCTTCACAGTGTTTGCACCATTTTTACATTCCCACCAACAGTGTACAAGTATTCTGATTTCTCCATGTCTTCGCCAACACTTGTTATTTTCCGTTTTTCAGATTATAGCCATCCTAGTAGGTGTGAAGTGGTATTTCATTGTGTTTTTTTTTTTTCTATTTCTGTTTATTTGTCTGACTCTGAACAGCCTTAGGAAATACATTTAACTCCTCCAAATTGTAGGTTCCTGTCCCTATAAATAAGGAATGTGGATTGCCTCTCTGGTTTCTGACTAAACTTGAGATTCGCCTGGGAGTGTTGACATGGCCACACGCCTGGGCTCCCGCTCTGGACAGTTTCATCCTGTGGATCAGGGTTGGGACACGTGTTTTCTTCCAGAGCTGCCCAGGGGACGGATGTCTTGAGAACCACTGAGCCACATTTCCTCCAACGTCTCCTCCAGCCCATGGTGCAGGGGTGGCCCCAAGGCTCACGCATCATGAGGGGCGGCCTCTGGGACCCGCTGTCCACATGGATAACAGGGTAGTTGTGCTCCAGCACATCTGCAATGAAGATGATGGTCACTCTGTGTATTAGAAACATCACCATGAGATTAAGGAAACAGCCCGTATCTCTAGAAGTGCTGTTTTCTCATTTGCTGATTAACAAAATTGAATAATTAACAGTGAGCTTTCCTGTCAGACTGAATGAACGGAAGCTGCCGTGGGGCCTTTCACGATCCTGACGTGTGGCCGTGTCGTTTGCTAGGCTATTAAGTGCATCCTAGAAGGGCTGGCGGATCCGGAAGTCAGGACAGGACACCGTCTTTCACTTTACCAGAGAGCCGTGCGCCTGCGGGAGTCTCCAAGCTGCAAAAAGTACAGGCACCTTTTCCATCAGCTACCAGAAATAACTGTGGAAGATGTTAGGCATGTAAGTAAATATCCTTTGGGCACTTGGGACTTAAACACATTCATCTGTTTTTTTCCTGACTGGAAGCAAACTAAAAACAGTTTTTAATGTATGTTTTCTTTTAGACTTAGAATAGTCTAATGCTCATTTTGGATGGTGACATGGCCATTGCTCCCATTTTCACTCTAACGTCCTCCTTCCTGATGAGACTCAGGCTGGCTGGTTTGGCCACACCCTGGGTTGAGTGACAAAACTCCTGGGTGGGAACTAGCATCTGCCAGTCTCCTCTGCTAGTCAGGGGGCCCAAGGGGCAATTTTAAGTCTCTCCCAGACTGGGTCCGCGAGCTGTCACATCCCTGCCGGCCTGCCAGTGTGGGTCACATGCTCTACTGAGTGCATGGCTGCAGGGGTAGGAAGGGACCTTCGCTGACACGAGGCTAATGGATGTTCTTCTGTTGCCATCTCAGGTGACCATCACGGGCAGGCTGTGCCCGCAGCGTGGGATGGGAAAGTCTGTGTTTGTGATGGAGGCCGGGGCTGTTGCCGCCCCCGCCACAGTCCTGTGCTCCGTGGAGGAGCTGGCACTGGCCTATTACAGACGCAGCGGCTTTGACCAGGGTAACTGAGCAACATTCCTCCCGTCCACCCAGTCACCGTGTGGGTGAACAGCGTCGCTTGATGGTTTGTCAGTAGTGGTTTGCTGTCATCCCTCTTTCACCCACAGGAGAAGATGCTGCTGACCAGGGGATATGGAAAAGAATTTTACTAACTGTAGTTTTTAAAGGCAATCTCTTCCCCCTCTGCCCCTTATCAAAGATAGTGGTAGGGCAGGCCAGCTGCCCTGAAGGCACCCACAGGGCCTGGCTCTCATCTTTTTTCTTTGTAAAAAACTTCTTGTTATGAAAGATACTGCACATGCCTTTGTGCAGAAGGGGAGAGGATAGTATGTGAACCCCACACCACCTCCTTAGTTCTGTTCAGTCTCCTTCTGTCCTCTCCCCTGGCTTCCCCTGGATTTTGGAAGCAGACCCCAGACATCACCTCTGGGTTCTTGCTGTGTGGCTTACGTGGGTCACTCCTGGGGGATGCCCACCAAGTCCTTCTGTCCTCATGTCTAGGCAGGACCCTCCCTGTGCCTGGGCTGTAAGGTTACTAGTGTTAAAAAACACTCTGATGTCTTCAAATATGTGAAAATCAAGACATTATTTCAGTATCACCCAAGTGTTCAAAAGATTAATGAGCACTGTAGAAAGACAACTGCTAGATAGGATTTTTCAAAACATGGTTGGATGTTAAGATTCATCTATGCAACATTTTTATTACTTACAGGGAAGGGTGATGCCGTTGGGGACGAAGTGCAAACACCAGTGAAGACAGAGATATAGTAGACCTGGAAAGGTTAGAAATAAAAGAAAAGACTGAGCAGCCGAGGCCCCAGATGTGTGGCAGGAGATGTGGAGGCCGGGCTGTTGCTGGAGGAAGGGGCAGGCCTCGGGCAGTGGGCTGCCACCTGAGCGCCTGGTGTGCTTCCAGTTGAGCTGCGGGCCTGAAAATCAGATGGGCCATTCCTTTTCCAGAATAAAAAATATTTTTTATATGAAATATTTTTCATTTGTTAAAATTGATGCAGTGAAATTGAGCAGAACCCTTGCTGCCTGGTTTATCCTAGGGGGGATTTTGTGTGAGAGCAATCTCAAACACCCTCCAGGGAAGGTTATTTCTAATTACTCAGAAAGAGCTCACCAAAAATGATTTCACGTACAACAGAAATGCAGAGCGTGGGCTGCTCAGTTGTTTAGGGATGATCTGACCTCCACGTTCCAGAGTGAGCAGTGTACACTCCAGGACAGAAAGCTGACTGGAAATCAAGTCCCAGCTTTATTCCTGGCTGGGCAAGAGAGATGAAAGGACTTGGCTTCAGCCAGGAGGCCTGAGTGAGTCCTGCTGTTCCTGGGCTCTTCTTTAGAATTGCTGGGACAGACTGCAGGGAAGAGGGCCTGGAACTGAGAGGGGACAGAACAGAGGGCTCAGCACAGGCTCAGGAACATGGGATGGAGGGAACCTGGCCACATGCTGCTCCTGACAGAGACTCAGGCCACTGTCCCAAGTGTGCCTTCATGTGGGCACATGGTGACCCAGAAGCCCTGTGTGCCAGGCTCCCAAGCAGACAGGCTGGGGCTGCCTGGTCAGTTTTTGCTCCCTGTTCTCACTGTGGCCTCACCTGGATGGACGAGGGCCCATCCTTGTCAGGGTCCGACTGGCCAGAGGAGCTTTCTGCAGTATGGGCGTGTTGGGACAGTGGTCTGGTGATAGTTCCTCCTCTGACCAAGGCAGTCATGTGGGGAGAAGCGTCCACACAGCTGCCTTTCTTGGTCATATGTGCTGATGTACAGACAAGCATTGCCTTGGGGATGGGCTGGGCCCGCTGGGACTTGCTTGGGAACACAGGTCTGCATGCTGTGCCGAGGCCAAGCTCTTTATTCTGCACCAGACCCTGCCTCTGACTCTCTGTGTGACCTTGGCACCTGATGTCTCTCTGAGGATGTCTTCCGTTTAGTAAAATATGTGTGTGACATGAGGTGGGGAGTCTGAACTAGGTGGTCTTTAAGTCGAATGCTTCTGTAAAAAGCCTTGAGTATGAGAAACACTGGGCCCGGTGTAGCTGAATGCTTGGGGGGATGAGGCGAATCGAAGCAGCACCTGCTAAGTCCAAGGACACACGGGCACATCCGCCTCCGACTTCCTGGGAAATCCCTTTAGGGAAGAGCCTCTGCAGGGCTGGCCCAGGGGCCACCTGCACCAGGGCCACGTGCAGATTCTGCTCCTGCCCTGCCCCGCTCAATTGAACCTCCACAGCCCGAGGCGGGCATCAGCTTTTTCTTTTTTTTTCAAACATGTTTTTTAGGTTATTCACTAAAGTGTGAGGACCAGTGCTTTGAGGCTTTGAAATGTTCATTTGAATTTTTCTATGATTATTAAGATTTTTGCCCTTAAATGGGGCTTCTGTGCATAAAAAATATAGTATAAAAAGTGAGCTGGCAGTGGCATGAAAACAGCATTTCCTTCTGAATCTAAAATATTTCTATTATTTCCTTGAAATTGTGTATGTTATGGTGGTGTGTTTGAAAAAACAGATAAAACTGATTTTTCCTCTGTGTGTGTTTAATTTTTCAGGGATTCATGGGGAAGGGTCCACCTTCTGCACCCTGTGTGGCCTCCTCCTGTGGGATATAATCTTCATGGATGGGATACCAGACGTCTTCAGAAATGCCTACCAGGTAACCCAGTAACCTTGTCCCAGGAGGAGACTCTGCTGCACACATCTGTGACCCAGGCCCACCTGTATACAACCTGTCTGCAGCCATCGGAAACCTGTCTCTTTGATATGGTTCTTTGGATCATTCATATATCATGGTGCTAATTCCACTGAAAGAATAACTTTTATTTTTTAAAATCTGAATAATAGAATTTAAAATTTAAGTATATTAAGTTTTTTTTTTTTTTTTTTTTTTTTGCTTTTAACTATATGCTTAATATATTAAGTTTTAAACTGTAAGTCCACCTTACCTTATAACACTGTATTTTAAACTTTTAGTATAAAGTACCTTTAGCTTCATTCTTTCCTGAGCACCTGTCAACGGCCCAGGCACTGTGCCAGTGGCTCTCACATCGTTGTCACATATGCCTGCTAAGAGGGCTACCAAAATACACCAGCCAAACAACCTTCCCCACCCAAAACAGTAATTTAAAAAAAATACTAGCTTATTGAAGTGGGAAAATAAAAGAGGAAAAAAAAAGTTCCTCCAATTTAAGCTAAAAACTCTTTTTGCAGATTATTACTCTAAAAAACTATTGTAATAAATTACTTTTATATCAGATTACATATATCAGATAGCTTTTGCATGTCTTGAGAAAAAGAATGTGTCAACCAGTTGGCCAGCTTCCAAATTCTGTAGGTACTGAATAGTCCCCCGATCAACTGGGCTCTCCAGGCGCAGTGTGAGAGTTCGCTTTCCCCGTCACAGGCGTTCCCGCTGGATTTGTGCACAGACAGCTTTTTCACAAGCAGGGCGCCCGCCCTTGAGGCCAGGTTGCAGCTGATCCATGATGCTTCTGCGGAGAGCCTGCAAGCCTGGGTGGCGGCTGCGTGGAAGGCCCAGGAGGGCAGAGTGGCTTCTCTCGTCAGCTGGGATCGCTTCACTTCTCTTCAGCAAGCTCAGGTAGTAGTTCACCTGCATGGCAGGATTTGGTCAGAAAGCAAGGCCTCCCCTGTGCATGTCTTCCTGGCAACTATGTCAAAATACACACATACACACACCCAGATACATGTGTATATACATTTATATTTATATATAGATATGTTTGTGTGTGTGTATACATGTGTGTGTATACATATGTGTGTATGTGTGTGTATGTGTATGATAATACCCTGTGCCCCCAGCCCAGATGCCATTGTTAGTGATGGAAACATGTTAGGGTGTTAACAAAGCCCCAGTTATGCCTTTTCCACACTCAGGTTGACAGCTTCTTTTTGCTTGACCTGTGGCAGGGAGGATACCTTCTCTGTCGCTACAACTCTTGGCCTCCGCGAGTCCTTACTGACATATTCCTGAGAGCTTTTCCAGTCTCCTCTTCCTCAGCAGCTTCCCAGGGTGTCCATCAGTCTCGTCACTGACCAGAGGAGACCTGATTTCCCAGAGCTTGCCAGTGGGAATTCTAGCCCGTGGCTCTGGAGCCCTGGTACAAGCAGCAAAGTAGCATGTGGTGCACCTGGAATCCGTTTGTGTTGAATTACACGCCGAGTTTGTCTCTGTCTCGTAAACCCTGGAGCCTATTGCAGGGTGTCTGTCCCAGGGAAGTGGCTAACTGTCCACACGTTTTTCATTCAGGATCTTGTCTCCTGCTTGGGGGGCCCTGTCCTCAGTGGCGTGTGCAGGCGCCTGGCTGCTGACTTTCGACACTGCCGAGGGGGCCTACCCGACCTGGTGGTGTGGAACTCCCAAAGCCATCGCTGTAAGGTCAGTTGGAGCCAGAATGGAAAGTCATATTTATACTAATAATTTTATTAGTAACTGAATCGGAGGCCACGATGGAGGCATTTCTTGTGTGGTTTTTGGAGAGACTGAATTCCTTGAGAGCTTTTGGGCTGAGGGCTTGTGGGCCTCTCCAGGGGCGGCTCAGCGTGAGGCAGCTTGTTTCTCCAGAGCGGGAGTGAGAAGAGCCAGAGCGTGTGAGCAAGAGGGAAGTCACTGTTGCTTATAACGTGATGGTGGAGGCGACGTCCCTTCACTTCTGCTGTGTCCTCTTGTTAGAAACAAGTCACCAGCCCAGCTGACACTCAAAAGGAGGGGGTCACAGGGTGTGGACACCAAGAGCTATTTTAGAAGCTCCCAAGGGTGAGCGCCTCCTTAAACACTGTCTGCTAGGCCTGGCCCTGCTGTCACCAGTGCTTTTTTTCTGAGTATTGAGTTGTAAAATTAAAAAGGAAAATTATATATTCTGGATATTCCATATCTTGGAGTTATATTTTATCCCAGTCTGTGGCTTATCTCTTTTTTTTAATGGTATTTACTTTTACTTTTTTATTTTTAATTATTATGGGTACATAATAGTTATATATCTTTATAGGGTACTTGTGATGTTTTGATACAGGTATTCAATGTGAATTAGTTCAATCAAGGTAATTGGGGTATCTGTCACTTTAGACATTTAACATTTCTTTATGTTAGGAAGATTCTAATTCCACTTTTTTAGTTAAAGTATATTCTAATTAGTTAGAATGAACAACAGCACAACAAAGTGAATGGTATTTACTTTTAAATTTCCCTAATGCCTATCCTTAAATTAATTCATCCCTCTTCAGTATGTGAATCAGTGTACTTACTGAGTATTCATTCACCAGATGTTGTTCATATTTTTTCCTTATTGACATTTTAATATCTGTAGAATCTTTATACTTTTATTCCTAATAATGGTAATTTGTATCTTTTTTCTTTTTTTGTCTGATCATTCTGGCTGGAGATTTATCAATTTTATTGATTTTCTCAAACCAGCTTTTGGTTTCATTGATTTTTCTGTATTTGTTTCCTGTTTCACTGATTTGTGCTCTGTTCTTTATTATTTCCTTTCTTCTGCTTACTTTCGATTTAATTTGTTCTTTTTTTTCTAGTTTCTTAAGGTGGAAGCTGTGGTCATTGCTTTGAGACCATCTTTTCTAAAGGTGTTTAGTGCTTTAAATTTCCTTCTAAGTGCTGCTTTATCTGAATCTCACAAATTTGACATGTTTTCATTTTCATTCTGTTCAAATACTTTCTTATTTGACTTTTGATTTCTTCTTTGATCCTTGACTTAATTTGAATTGAGTCATTTAGTTTCCAAATATTTAGATATTTTCCAGTTATCTTTTTGCTATTGATTAGTAATTTAATTCCATTTTAGTCAGTGGACATATTTTGTATGATTTGAATCCTATTGAATTTCTTGAGACTTGTTTTATAACCTAGAATATGGTTTGCCTTAGTGAATATTCTGTTTGCACTTAAAAAGAATGTGTGTCCAGCTTTTGTTGGGGGCAGTACTTAAAAATGTCAGTTAGGTCAATGTGGTTGATAGTGCTCATGTGCTCACTGATTTTTATTTACTTGTTTGATAGATCATTGAGAGAAGAATATTGACATCTCTGACTAAAATTGGAGATTTGTGTATTTGTGCATTTCCATCAATATTTGCTTCATGTATTTTAAAGCTCTATTATTAGATGCTTACACTTTTAGGATTATCATGTCCTCTTGATAAAGTCACCCTTTTATCATTATGAAATGACCGTCCTTCATTCCCGGTAATGTTCTTTGCTCTGAAACCAACTTTGTCTGATATTATTAATATATAGCCTCTCTAGCTTTCTTTTGATTAGTGTTAACATGATGCATGTTTTTCTCTTCTCTTATTTTTAACCCATTTTATCTTTTTTTGAGACAGAGTCTCACTCTGTTGCCTGGGTTAGAGTGCTGTGGCATCAGCCTAGCTCAGCAATCTCAAACTCCTAGGCTCAAGCGATCTTCCTGCCTCAGCCTCCCGAGTAGCTGGGACTACAGGCATGCACCACCATGCCTGGCTAATTTTTTTTATATATGTGTTTAGTTGGCCAATTAATTTCTTTCTATTTTCAGTAGAGGGACGGGGTCTTGTTCTTGCTCAGGCTGGTCTCAAACTCCTGAGCTCAAACAATCCGCCGGCCTCAGCCTCCCAGAGTGCTAGGATTACATGCGTGAGCCACCACGCCCGGCCAACCCATTTTATCTTTATATTTAATATGGGTTTCTTGTAGGCATCATATAGTTGAGTCTTACTTTTGACTCCACTCCACCTTAACAATCTCTGCCTTTTATTATAATTGGGGTGTTTGAAACATTTGCATTTAATTGATTATTGATAGGGTTGGCTTTGAATCTTGATACTTATTTTATATTTGTCTTGGCTCTCTTTTTTTCCCCTTTCCCCCCTTTTTCTGCCTGTTGTTTAAAGATTGCATTTTATACTTTCATTGGCTTCTTAGCTGTAACTCTTCATTGTGTTTTTTTAAGTAGTTGTATTAGGGCATACAGTGTATATCTTAAACTTGTTGTCTACCTTCAAGTGATACATACTTTCAATTTTATGTTTAGTATAAAGAACCTTACAACAGTATATTTTTGTATCTTCCTCATACTAGCTTTTGTGTTTTCATACATTTTACTTCAACATGTTACAGATTCTATGACACATTATTTTTGTTTTCTATAGTTGATTAATGAGAGCCTTTATATCTACTCATGTAGATACCGATTCCCAGGTATTCCTTTGCACAGGTCCAGATGCCCCTGGGTTCCATTCTCTCTCTGCTTGAAGAATTTCCTGTAACATTTCTTGAAGTACAGGTCTGCTAGTGATTAGTTATAGTCAGCCCTCCGTATCCACGGGCTCTGCATCCGTGGATTCAACCAACCGTGGGTTGAATATTTGAAATAAAAACAATACAAAATAACTGCAACAATTAAAAAATACAAATAAGATTTATAGTATAACTATTTATATATTATTTACATCGTATGTTGTATTTTAAGGAATCTAGAGATGATTTAAAGGATACAGGAAGACGTGCATAGAAGTTATTTGCAAATACTATGTCTCTTTATATAAGGGACTTGGGGATCTGGATTTTGGTATCTGTGTGGGTCCTGGCACACATCGCCCTGGGATATTGAGGAATGACTGTATTTAGGTTCTGTATGTCTTAAAAAGTCTTTACTTCACCTTTGTTCTTAAAAGATATTTTCTCTGGGTAAAGAATTCTATATTGACAGATTTTTTCTTTCAATACTTTAAAAATATTAGTCCATTATTTTCTAGGTAGCATTGTTTCCAATTAGAAATCCTTGTGATTTTTTATTAAGTTTTTTTATTTTTCTTTTTTTTGAGACAGTCTTACTCTGTTGCCTGAGCTAGAGTACCATGGCGTCAGCCTAGCTCACAGCAACCTCAAACTCCTGGGCTCAAGTGATCCTCCTGCCTCAGCCTCCCAAGTAGCTGGGACTACAGGCATGCACCACCATGCCTGGCTAATTTTTTCTATTTTTAGTAGACATAGGGTCTCACTCTTGCTCATATTGGTCTTGAACTCCCAGCTCAAATGATCCTCCTGCCTTGGCCTCCCAGAGTGCTAGGATTACAGGTGTGAGCCACTGCACTTGGCCTTGTATTTTTTTTTTTAAAGGCGGGGTCTCACTATGTTGCTTAGGCTGGCCTTGAACTCCTGGCTTAAATGATCCTTCTGCCTCAGCTGGGACTATAGGCTGGTGCCACAGCATCCAGCTAAAATGTTTTCTCCTCTGGCTTCTAACTATTCTGGTTGCTTTAAAGATATTCCCTTTATTGCTGATTATACAATTTAATTCTATTTCCTAGTGTGGTAGTAAGTTTCTGAGCTTGGGGTTCATTGAATTTGGCTCATTGGGTTTGTAGTTTTCATAAAATTTGGAAAAATTTTGGCCATTATTTATTCAAATATTTTTCTTTCCTCTTTTCTTTGGGGATGCCAATTAAACATTTATTAGCCTGCTGAATGCTGTTTAGTAAAAAATTATTTTATACTTCATGTAGGATAGTCTTTATTACTGTATCTTCAAGTTCTGTAATGTGTAGTGAACAAAGCTGACACAATTCGTACCTTCATAGCAATGATGGCAATAAACGTTATAATAAATGCCAAAAAGAAGTGTATAGGAAGGATTCTACTGATTGATATGGTGGACCTCTCTGAGAGGAGTAAGCTGAATGTTGAAAGGTAAGAAGTCAGGCATGTGAAGAACAGGGAGAAAGTCCTAGCTAGAGGGATTAAGTGTGAAGTGAGGGCCCTTGGGTGAGAAAGAGGCTGGTCTCCTCCAGGAAGCTGAAAGGGGGCCTGTAGAATGGTTGGCAGGGGCAGTTTTGTCGATCATGGCAAGAAGTTTAGATTTAATTGCAAATGTAACAAAGTAATTGGAGGGTTTAACAATCCTTTGCATGCTTTAAAACATTTCCATTGTTATGCTAAATCAATTTACTAATTCTCTGTGAAGAACTATCTAGTTTCTAGAGAATAGAAACATTTCTCAAGGGATTTCTTAGCTACATACAGATGTTCAACTTATGTTGGGGTTATGTCCTGATAAACCCATTGTAAGTTGAAAATATTAAGTTGCAAATGCATTTAATGCACCTAATCTACCGAACACGGCAGCTTAACCTAGCCTACCTTAAACCTGCTCAGAACACTTACATTAGCCTACAGTTGGGTGCAATCATGTGGCAACTCAGTATACTGTAGTATCAGTTGTTTACCCTTGTGATCATGTGGCTAATTCAGGAGCTACAGCTTGTGGCATGTGCACCGCCCAGCATCATGAGAGTATCGTGCCACCTCTCCCTCGCCTGGGGAAACATCAAAATTCAAAATTCAAAGTACAGTTTCTATTGAATACATATAACTTTTGCACCATCTTAAACTAAAAAAATTTTAAGTTGAACCCTTGTAATTCAAGGACTGTTTGTATACATATTTGTTGTATATATAAAGACAGTGGTATAAAAGAAGCCACTTAATATTTGTTAGTGAAAACTATAACTTATTTGGATGGTTATTCAGTTTCAGTAAGATACTAATAATTTTTTAAAATTTGTCTTCCAGCTGGTGGAAGTTAAAGGCCCCAATGATCGCCTTTCGCATAAGCAAATGATCTGGCTGGATGAACTACAGAAGTTGGGGGCCGAAGTAGAAGTCTGCCATGTGGTTGCAGTTGGAGCTAAGAGCAAAGGCCTTAGCTAAATGCTAAGGAATTGGGGATAGATGGTCATACAATGATGTAAGATTTTCAAAAGCATAAAGCATTATTACATTTAATTTTGATATTGTCATTGTCTATTATAAACCTTAATGACGCATCGTTGTACTATGCATTTGTGTACCACGATGCTTGCTGTTTGCCTGAAATGTACTGTTCGTTGATGCCACACAGTTTTGATTATACAAGGGCAGAAACAATTGAAATTCCCATTTCTTTAGGAATCAGAAAAGCAAATTCTTATGAAGTTATTTAACTTATGACATATATAAATGCTTGGCTTTTACCAGTTGGGCCTGGATCACTAGGGGAATGAAGTCTTTATCAGAAGCAGTTGTCCTTGTCCTTTTCCTTAGGAACATCCCTAGTAAATATATTAGGGGTGTTTTCTCTGTTGACAATATAATTAAAACAGGGGTGCTCACCATTGCTGGAAGGGCCTCAGGTTGAAGAAGGGTATGGTAGAAAGGTGACTTATCCAAACACAAGGCCCAGAAGTCAGGGATCAGGAACCCAGTCTCATTGACTTGTCTGAGACCTTCTTGGGGAAATGTTACTTCCTAGTTTTTGTACTTATTGGATGGAAGGACCAATTTGGGCATGATCCATTAACACTCCACATGGGCTTAGTTATACAGCCAGTCTTAGTAGATGTCAAAAATGTTACTGATAATTACCTGGTTTTAGGGGGCAAGCAAAAAAGTCACATGGGTGACACAGAAATATGAATGGGAGAAGATGCCTTCGTGTCTTCTATCACTGTGTTCTTGCAGGTGATTTCATATTGATTACAACAGACAACTGCTGTGAAAATTTTATTTAGCAGTCAAAATTTCCTTCACATTCATTACTGTTGAACAACAAGATCTCATATCTTACTGCTCATACCACTTGATCTCGAGTCATCAGTTTTAGGCACAAAGGTTTTAGTTTTCTCTCAAAATCAAGTTTTAACTACTTGAGGTTACTGCTACAGCAAACAGATTTTGTTGAAGGACATGAATAGTTTTCACCCTCTGTTAGTACAAATTAACATCATTTCCTTAAATAAAGTTAGACATTTTTGGTTTTAAACTTGGCTTCCATCATAAAATAACAGTAAGACACTGTACATCTTTATGTTCGATACTAGGAAGTCCAGCACTGTCGGGCATTTGCATGGCGTCTGTCAGCACAGGCTCCACCCGCAGGGCTGTGGGAACAGTGAGTGCTGAGCTGTCTTGGATGCAACCTGCACACTCACTCTTCTGCCACCAGTGTCCCTTCTGCTAGCAGAGGTGCCAAGCAGCTTAGCAATGGCCTGATTTAAGGCTGTTAAAGTTGTTTTTCATATTATGCATGATAAACATATATGCACAATAATCATATAACAACTATCCAACAAAAAAACACAACATATTTTACTACATTTGATTATCATACAAAAATATGCATATTTCTATTTTAAAATAGTATTAATAGTACCTAATCCTTTTTAAACTTGTAAATTAACAAAAAAAATCAGCAAAGGAAGTTGAAATAAATGTTTGAGGAAAGAAAATTGTATAGAGAAAAATGCTCAATCCAAAAAACAACAATTTGTGATGATGAAAAGCAGCTTAATGAAAAAGGGAGAATTATTACACTTTCAATGGCAGGATATGCTGTGGTGTTTTAAGAGCATCAGGGCTAGTTTCCAATCAAGGACTATAAAATGTTAATGTAATGATTCTCTTTATATAAACTGAAAATAGCCCTTATTTTCTAGGCAACAAGTTGGCAAAAACATTGGGTTTTTTATCCACAAGATGAATTTCTGTTATATCTAGAGACATAATTTTTAAAAGGCAAATAATTCCAACAGGAACAGCTATTCAGTACATGTAAAGGTAAAAGATGCTATCTTGAAAAAACTTGTTTTATAAAAGGAAATATGCTAACTAGACCCTTTACTATAAAAAATTTCAAAACCTTAAGATGGTAGTTTAAGAAACTCCTAACAAATTTGAAAACATCCATGTTTTAAACAGGGAATGGGGTGTGTGTGGGGGGGTTGCTAAATGTCACTGCCATAAAAAACGTAAGCTTTGACCCCTACAGCTTGGCTAGGCTCTTGTCACACAGATTGGAAATCAGGGAGTTTCAGCTCCAGAAAACACCTGCCTGCCTCTCAGTCTCCTCTTAACGTTGCTGTCAAAAGCCGGGGGCAGGAAGAGCACTTTTGTAGCTATTTATTAAAATGGCAGTATATTGAGAGAAGTCCATTTTTATTTCTCCTATTCTATTCCTAAGCATTAAGAACTTTGAGAGCAGAAGGACTTCTGTGCTGGTGCCCAACTTGTGACCTCATTAGTTATTTCCAAGGGGGAAGTGCTAGCAGTTTACCACACTGGAAATGCAGACAGGAAAGCCCACGCCAACGCCTAGCAAGCCCTGTCTCTGAGGTGGGTTTCGGTGCAGACGCTCTCTCCTGTCTACAGCACTGACCCGCCAGAGCTGGGGCTACACCTCTGCTGCAAGCGTGGCCTGCGGAGTGCCCCACCCAGGCCCCTGTGTCCTCAGGGGCTTTCAGAGGAACAGGAATGTGGCTCTGGGGACTCCTGGCTATGAAGCTTAGTATGAAAAACGTATTTCCAATATGCAGTGGGATTTTAACACCCTCATTTTAAAAAGTGAAATTATATTTTCCTCTGTGACACTGATACCTTAATATTAATGTGAAAGGCACTTCTAAGTTTAATTATATTATCTACAGCAAATGCTTTGAAGTTAATAGTGCATATCATTTTAAAGTTAGTCCCATGAAGTTAAAAGCAAACTCAGGATTTCAAAACACAGTGATCTAAGGTCCCAAACAAGGTGATTTAAAATAATAAATTCTGGCTTCAAAACACTGAACCTTCATCAGGTGAGTTCAATTAGAGATGACAGAAAGTGACCAGAAAAATACATGAATACCTACTAAAGCCTGTTGAGGGTTTTATCGGATGTTTCTAGAAATACACTAAACACGAATATCTTAACTTTCCTGTCGTCTGCACCTTCAGGCTGCTAATCTGACCAAGCATCAGGTAACTTTTAGTAGGTAGTAGAAAAAATGGATGCAGACAAAATAAATGTAGCAGACAAAACCTGATTAGTCTGATCACAGTTATAAGAATAGGGGAATGTTTGCCTGCAAATCACCTAAAATTGAGCCAGATCTAGAATAAAAGAAAGGGGACATAAAAAAATTTACATCTGTCTTCTAAAGTAAGTGTGACGGAGCATGATTCAACAAGTTTTTAAATATTAGTGCAAATTTCAACTATTACGTATAAAGTTATTAGAGCTTCAAATGCCTGTTAACAATTATTCTGAAGAAAAAAATTTACAGCTTCCCTCAAAATGTTCAGAAAATACTAGTTTAGTCTTCATTTGCTAGTGTCTCAGTAGATAACCATATTTTGGCCCCACTTAAAAATTTGCTTAATGGAGTTCCTAAAATGCTTCGTCTGCATAGGTTCCCTACAGGAGAAAATGGAAACGAGGAGGAGAGAAACTCTGGTGTCCCCGAGGTGTCCTGCGGGCCGCTGGCTCTGAAGTACATCCTGCTCTGGCCCAGCTCTGAGTAGCAGGCTTCCAGAGGGCCGCTCCACTGCTGCCGCAGCATCCTGCTGAGCACATCGATCTCGTCAGCCAGGAGGGACAGCTTGTGAAAGGCGGTGATGAAGCCGCCCAGGTTGATCTGAGCCTCAGGAACCCAGCGGAAGTAGCACAGTTTCCACAGTTTTATGTGTGTTCCAGAGAAACGTGGCAGAATAACCCCATGCAGGTTGACTGGTTTGGAAAACCACTCTCGAAAATACTGCTCCATGTCGCTATTATGGCTGTTCTGCTGAAGAGGGTCTGGCTTTAGTTTTAATATTAATGAATTTCTCCTAGGAAATAACTCTTGGTCACTGATGATTCCATTCTTTAAGGAAGATGGCATTCCTCTTAGTGTAGAGCTGTAGTTTTTCTGTACAGTAGAGAGATTTCAGCATTAATTTCCTGGAGCATCCCTTTTTAGAAAGACTAAAGGTATGATGGCAAATATAAACTCAGTATCATGAAAAACTGTGGCATTTCATCTTCAAAGAATATTTTCATCCTTTTCCTTGTAGTATTTATTCTAATGCTCTTCCTCTGGAATTCAGTGTTATAGGTGTTGACTCTATACTAGGCCTGAGTTGGGGTAGGGAGGTCATATATCCTATCCATTAATTTACTTAAGGGAAAATTTCTAAGACTACTAGGTTAGGGAAAAAAGCCCTAGGCCTGGCTGACTCTAGAAAGAAAATGAGCAGACTGGATGGGTTTCAGGAAATGGGATTCACAGGCTCAAAGCCACAACCTGCCAACTGTCAGGTACTTGATCAGGGCTTTGTGGCCCTCAGATACCATGACGAAAAGTGAAGATACAGTCATTTTAGTTAAAAAGGGAGTGATCCCCTAAAAATCTGCATTAGCAGTGTTACTGTAGGAAGTGATCCTGTGTTCTGAAAAAGATGTGTTTGGTTCTGTGTGAGCCAACATCAGGTTTTATTAGTTGTAATTTACCTTTGTCCGTTTAAAAGACTTCACAGAGCCATTCTGTATACAAGGCGTGCTCTTTCCGATGTAGAAGGGATTATGGAAAAGGGTGCGGTCCTTTGCTGTAAACTGCAGAGACCAGTCCCAAACCGAGGGGAATTTTAAGCCCTTCTCATCACCCAATTGGATATTTTTACTGATAGCAAATTCCTGCAAAATAAAATATTTGAACATTGGTGAAAAGATGCAAAACTAAAGTTCCTTTCTCATGAGTTCCTTTTTTTGGATAAACCATTCATCATATACAGGTTAAATGTTCTGAACTAGAGCACTCCAAACCCACGAGAGTGGTGCTTCCACTTCAAGAAAGGAGAGACACTCCTGGCCTCTCTGCTCACAGCAGCACTTGATGTGCTGCATGAACAGGGCGTGTGCCGCATGAACAGGGCGTGTGCCGCTCAGTGCGCTCTGCCTCAGGGCCCCAAGGAAGCTTCCACCTCTGGGCAATGAAAATGATATTAAGAGAAGTCAAATTTCACTGACATGATAGCATGAAGTCTGAAATGTGCTGAAGTTATTTCTATACTTGTAGCACTTTACTTTGACATATATTTAAGCACTTACCTGCTGCCAAGTGGATTTATACAATCTTTGGATACGATCACTGCCATAGATTTTATACCTTGTTTTCTAAGTGGAGAGCCACACTTCACTTAGCAGTGGACTCAAATATATGGACTACAGCATTGGAGCAGGGAGGAAGGAATCAGCTCCCCTGTGGTCCTAGCATGTGGCTTAGATCGCAGAGACCATGTACTGAGGCTGAGCCCCTTATTCAGAGGCCCACCACTGGCCCTCACTCTGGGGCTGGTGCAGACTGGTGATTTGGTTTCTCACCACAGCAAACTGAGGCAACACATGGCTATGGGATGACAACCAGCCACCTCACAGGGGAAGAGGACACAGTGCTAATCTGGAAGCAGCCCAGACCATCTCTATGTAGTCACATTTTCCCGCAAGATGGAGAAATGACCCTCATCTTAGCTGGCTGACGATAGCAGGCTACACAACAGTTTATACAGAACAGTCCCCTGGAATAGTTCTTAGAAATATCCCCAAATACTGACTCTGGATGGTGGGAAATGATTCTTATTTTTATTCTGCATCTTTCAGTATTTTCCAAATTTTTGACATAAAAACAAGAATTTCTTTGGAAACTAGAAAAAAGGCAAAGGATGAATGTTATCTGGAAAAAAGTATAGCAGTCAGGAGGCCACCACTATGTCACAGCCAGGTGTTAATCCCCGCCACAAAGGTAGCTTAGAGTCATCAAGAGATAGATAAGCTGTGTAATAGCACAAGATGCTTTTAAAAGTTTTATGAAATTTTCTACTTCAAATAAGTAAAAATTCATTAAGTACCAAATACAGGTATACTTAAAACATTTTTCTAATTATCTGAAATTTCATCATATATATGAAAAAATAACTCATTTGCTTTAGAAAATGATATTGTTAAGAACTGAAATCTAATACACTATAAACCCAAACTGTTTTAATGGCTATCAAGAAAGTATATACAAAAAGTCATCTTTTTAAAATGTGAAAACCAAAAATATTTATTTCTAAGATCTGATTTTCCACAAATAGTACCTGACCACTAGCACCTAACAAAAGCACACCAATTAAGGTGGTTAAGTAATTTACTTCTTTAAACTGGTTTATTATAAACAATTTACATCAGAGAAAAACACATAAAATATTTAATTATAAAAATGAAATAATTTTCTAGATTTTTGTGTCCAAATTACAGCTGACAGTGGAAGATAGTTTTAAATTATATATTTAAAATATGCAATTAATTATACTTCAGTTATATCTTAATAAAGTTGTTAAAAAAAAAAGGAAAAAAGTAGCCCCAACCACAATGCCGCCTACCGTGCTTTGCTTCACCCGCTGGTGAGGAGAGTTGAACAGGAAGGTGCCGAACAGCGAGATGCGGGTGCTGTCGTACAGCACCGCTAAGTAGGTCTCTGAGAACTCGAAAGCTGCTGGGTACTGTTCTAACAGCTGCCAGGTGGCATCCAAGAATAGCAAAAATAAGGGAGACTGGCAAATACAGACAGACAATGCGATTATCTAATGTTATCCTTCAGCTGTTCACATTTATTTTCAAATTTATTGTTGATATTGAGGAAGAGATTAGTAAGAAGACATCTAAACCTAAAACACTTGGCTCCTAAACTGAGTGAAGGAGACGTGAATAGATTAAACACATCTCATGCCAAACCTAAGAGTATGTTTGACCATGATAAACATCACAGCCCATATTTGCCCAGTAAGTATACCAAATTGAAATGGCAAAGCAAACAGATGAACAGGTTGCCACCATATGAATGGGCAAGAACAAAATATATGTTTAAGCATGTCCTAGAAATAATTCTTTAGAATATAAAACAAACCAAAAAACTCAACCAACTTCTATAATTAACTTTTGGTTGATCCTGTACGCTCAGCATCCAAAACACTTCTCCAAATTTCAGAAAACAGTTTGGTATCTACGTAGGTCACCTGATGTATTCCTGAGGGCAGTAGCTGATGACAGCTACTTTATGTGAAATGGTGCTCTCTGAAACAACCCCCTAGAAACTGAGCTAACCTGCCTATAAAATATTTGCAAGACCTCGTGCAGCCTAACTACAGTCCACCACAGCCACTAACCCCACAGCGGTTACAAAGATGGCCCTCTAAAACTTTCCACCTTAACCCATGCGTCCCATATTAAGAAAATGTGATATTCCAAAATTGATTTTTCGAACTAATGTGCTTGCTATCTGCTTTGTAGCAGTTAATGCAGAATTTCTTTAGGTATTTTTAATTTACGCAAAGTCAATAGATAACTTTAAAAAATTTCATCTATATAGTTACAATAATCTTTATAATAAGTACTTCAATTTTAATTCCAATCCATTAGTTAGCCTTGGACTTGAGGAAGCTAAATTGTACTAAATGCATTATTTTTAAAAAGCCCCCTCTCATCTCTTTACATATGACACATTTTATCTTGTGCATCCTTCAAGACAGACAATAAGGCATGAAGACTTTGTTACCTCTTTCTCCGATCTCTTTAAATGGTTGCATCTGTCTAGGAACTGATATCCTGCCATGACCCACTCCTTCTGAATCAGACTCTGAAACCCGGTAATTGTCCTACAGTAGGGATCCAGCATCACTTGAACAAGAGAGGCTACAAAACAGCTCAAGTCTCTTCCCTCCTCCTCTGTCAATAAAATGGAAAGAAAAGGATTACTATGTAGAAAAATGCTGAAAGAAAAAGGGAAGGAGAGGCAAAGTAGATAATTTAGTGTTCTACATCTAGGCTGCCTTCAAAATAATCTGTATGAGGACATTTTACCAGATTCCGGCAACCCTAAAATATTACAGATTTTTAGGTAAACTTAATTTAGTTTATTGTTTAAATGTAATCTTTCTGCTAACAACTAACTCCACATGGCAATGACTCAGAGGTGAAGGAGGGGGAGGAATGGGATGTCCCCTATCACCTGAAAAGGTGGCAAACATTTCCTTTCTTTTATATTTGTCCTTTTCAATAAGGTAAGAATTACCACAATATCAAAGCCAACCAAAGAAATCAGAAGAAAACTATTGACCAATATCTCTTATAATTATATATGTAAAAATCATTAATAAAAATATGAGTAAACCAAATTATCCCAGGAATGCAAGAATTTATCCCAGGAATAAAAGGTTGATGTAACATTTGACAATCAAAGTAATATACCATATCAATAAAATAAAGAACAAAACCAATGTGATTGTTACATCAGGTACAGAAAAAGCATCTGACACAATTCTACATTCATTCCTGATAAAAAAAATCTCAGTAAATTAGGAATAGAAAGTAACTTCTTTAAACTGATCAAAGGCTTTTTACAAAATACCTACAACTAAGATTATTCTCAATGGTGTAAGACTGGATGCTTTCCCAAGATCAGGTATAAGACAAGGCTGTCTGCTCTTCACACATCTATATAACAATGTACTGGAGGCACTAGCTAGAGCAATTAGTCAAGAAAAACAAAGGCGGGGTGCAGTGGCTCATGACTGCAATCCCAGCACTTTGGGAGGCCAAAGGCAGGAGGATTGCTAGAGACCAGAAGTTCAAGATCAGCCTGGGCAACATAGTGAGACCCTGTCTCTACAAAAATAAAAAAAATTAGCCAGGCATGGTGACATATACCTGTAGTCCCAGCTATTAGGGAGGCTGAGGTGGGAGGATCTCTTGAGCCCAGGAGCTCAAGGTTATAGTGAGCTAAGATTACGTCACTATGCTCCAGCCTGGGTGACAGAGTGTGACCTGTCTCTAAAAATATAAAAAGGCATCCATATCAGAAAGAAAAGATAAAAACTATATTTGCAGACAAAATGATGCTGTATGTAAAAAATCCTATGGAATCTACAAAATAAATACTAGAATTAATAAATGAGTTCAGGCCGGACGCAGTGGCTCATGCCTGTACTCCTAGCACTCTGGGAGGCCAAGGAGGGCGGATTGCTTGAGGTCAGGAGTTCGAAACCAGCCTGAGCAAGAGCGAGACCCCGTCTCTACTATAAATAGAAAGAAATTAATTGGCCAACTAATATATATAGAAAAAACTAGCGGGCATGGTGGCACATGCCTGTAGTCCAAGCTACTTGGGAGGCTGAGGCAGTAGGACTGCTTGAGCCCAGGAGTTTGAGGTTGCTGTGAGCTAGGCTGATGCCACGGCACTCACTCTAACCTGGGCAACAAAGCGAGACTCTGTCTCAAAAAAAATAAAATAAAATAAAACAAATGAGTTCAGTGAGGTTACAGGAATGCTATACACAATAACGATCTGAGTACACAATAAACCTGAAAATGAAATTAAGAAAACTGTATTCACGGTAATATAAAAAATAAAATGCTTAAGAGATTTAAAAAAAATAAAAAACTTGTACAATAAAAACTATAAAACATTGTTGATAAAATAGAAGATCTAAATAAATGGAGAGATTCATTCTATGGATTGGCAGATTCAATAAAGAAAGCATTCTTCCAAAATTGATCTATGGTTCCACACATTCCTATCAAAAATCCCAGTAGACTCTTTTTGATGATCCTGAAAGTTAGACAGAAATGCAAAAGATCCAGAATAGCCAAAACAATCTCAAAAACATAGTTACATGTCTCAATTTCAAAAGTCACTACACAGTTATAGTACTCAAGACAGTGTGGTACTGGCATAAGGATAGACACAAAGATCAATGGAATAAAACTGAGAATCCAAAACAAAATCCTTACCATTTATAGTAAACTGATTTTTGACAAAAGTGCTAAGGCAATTCAATAGAGAAAGGATAGCCTTTCAGCAAATGGTACCAGGACAACTTGGAATCCATGTGCAAAAAAGATGAATTTAGATTCTTACCTCACAACACAAGACAAAAATTCATTCAAAATGGATCACAGACCTAAATGTAAGACCTAATGTAAGAGCTAAAAACTCTATAGAATCATGGAAGAAAGTCTTCATAATCTCAAATGAGGCAGTTTAGATATAACACTCAAAGCATGATCCATAAAAGAAAAAAGGGATAAAGTAAATTTCACCAAAATTAAAAAATTTTAAAAAGACAACAAGAAAATGAAAAGAAAGCCATGGAGTAGGAGAAAATATTGGTAAATCATATAAAGAAATAAAGAACCTATTTCTAGCATATATAAAGAATTCTTATAACTCAATTAAGATGAAATATTTCAGAAATGCAAATGAAAACTACAATGAGCTACCAGCACCTACTAGAATGATCCTAAGGAGAGCGTAGCGCTGGTGAGGATGTGGAGAAATGGAATCCTCATACACTGATGAGGGGAAGGAACATGTTGTACAGCTGCTTTAGAAAACATTTTGGTAGTTTCTTAAAAATTTGGACACAAATATACCATACAATTCAGGAATTCCATTTCTATGTATCTAGTCAACAGAAATAAAAACTTAAGTCCTGCAAAAGATGGCCAGGAATGAATAACAACAATAACAAGAAAAAAGTCAAATGCAGGCTTAGTACTACTTCTGAGGCCTTTTATATTATAAATATACAGAGAAATCAGGATTAGTAGGTCTTTCCAATAAGATGAGAAGCTACTGCTTAAGAGAGAAATTATGTGATTATTGGGCTTTGCATGCATTTGTAAATTAAACACATATTGTGATGGTAAATGAAGGATTACTTTATATGGTACATTACTATTCTCTTTTTTTCCTAAGGGTTTTAAATACTTGTGCCTTGTTAAAGTCAGTTAAGTTTGACAGTTGTTAAAAATAGTTATGCAAGCTTAAGTAGCATCCTGTATTCATAAACTATGCAAGGTGAATATATAGTTGTCCCCAGTCATCCATGATGGACTGGTTCCAGGACCTCCCTTGGATATCAAGATCTACAAAGGCTTGAGTACCTAATATAAAATGGCGTATTTCAAGTCAGGGAATAGGCAAAAAAAAAAAAAAATTAAAAAATTAAAATTAAAAATAAATAAATAAATAGAAAATGGCGTAGTATTTCCATATAATGTAGGCAAATCCTCATGTATACTTTAAATCATCTCTGGATTACTTATAATACCCAATATAATTTAAATGCTATGTTAATAATTGTACTGTATTACTTAGGAAATAATGACAAAAAAAAAAAGTCTGTGTATTTGTTCAGTATACACAAAATTATTTTTTTCCCACATATTTTCAATACTTAGTTGGTTGAATCCATGATGCAGGAAGTCCATTGTATCATAAAAAGATAGTTCATGGTATATTAAACTTTATCTAGAAACTTAGAAATTGCATTAGCTGTAAAGTTATTTAATATAATCATCTTTTGTTTACACTGCAGTTTATTCCTACCAAATATTACACAAAATTCACATTATTGGCTATTCGGTTCAATTTCTTGATATCAAATTCCTCCCTTAGAGTCACAATCTAGCGTGAGCCAGAAGGTATTTAAACCACAATAATTTGTATGAATTAGAAAGACAGCAAGATTGGGAGAGGTGGGGATGGGTAAATTCACATTAACAGGTACAATGCACACTATCTGGGTGATGGACACACTAATAACTTCAATTCAAACTGTACAAAGGCAAATTTTTAATATGTAACCAAAATGTTTGTACTCCCATAATATTCTGAAATTTTCAAAAAAAGAAAGATAGCAAGATTAGAGAGAGAGGATGTCTTGCCAAAATTAATACTAAGCATTCACCAAATAAGGGATATGACCTACTCTTCCCATAAAATAGGAGGAAGGATTTAATAAAGGATAAAAACTGGATTCCTTTCTATTCTTCTATATGGAGTCTTTCCACCTTTATTTTACTTAAATGACATGCCAAATATGTTAGTGTATTTGAGTATTGCAGTAAATAAGAGATAACTAAGATTGGCATAATTTACTTGAATGTGGATAAGCAGTAACGAAGGTTGGCTGGCATGATGGTCAGTGTTTTCAGGAATTACTTTAATTACCTTGTAGGACTACAGAGAGATGTTTGCTTTCTAGCACATACACAAGTTCTGCTGAATGTTTGAGGAATACCCTGAAAAGATAAAAAAAAAAGTACTCTTAAAAATCAAATTTCTACTACAAATACATTTTAAAGGTACTTGAAATCAAGCAAACCCAATCTTTCACTGAACAGATGTTTCTCAACTAATGCTGGAAGGAAGTCCTGATCAACCCAATGTAATCTGAAAGTACTGTAAGTTGAAACAAGACCGATGGAGAGCTGCAGCTCCCTGCCACTGCCCAGCCTTACAAGCGAGTATCAAGTATCACACTGCTTTCTACTGAATGCAAACCACTTTCCCACCATTGTAAAGTCAGAAAATCGTAAGTCAAACCATCCTAAGCTTGGGACCATCTGTACACATTTGTATACTCAATATTCATGAATTTCTATGGTATTTATATGATTCTTCAACAGAATACATTCTTTTTTTTTTTGAGATAGGGTCTCACTCTCTCACACAGGCTGGAGTGCAGTGGCAAGATCACAGCTCACTGCAACCTCAAACTCCTGGGCTGAAGTGATCCTCCTGCCTCAGCCTCCTGAGTAGCTAGGATTACAGGTATGAGCCACTAAACCCAGCTAATTTTTCTACTTTTTATGGAGACAGAGTCTTGCTATGTGGCCCAGGCTGGTCTCGAACTCCTGGCCTCAAGTGATCTTTCTGCTTGAGCCTTCCAAAGTACTGGGATTACAGGTATGAGCCATCATGCCTGGCCAATTTTATAATTTTTGTATCAGGGAAATTAATTAACCCTTTATCAAAGGGAAGGGGTTGACTTATATAACATTCATGAAATGACAAAATTATAGAGCTTGAGAAGAGGTTAGTGGTGCCAGTGGACAGAATGGGGGTTGGGGGAAGCATGAGGGAGCCTTGTGGTGATAGAACAGTTCTGTATCTTGACTGTATCTTGACATGTGAGTCCATGTATGTGATAAAACTGCACAGCTCCATTTGTGCACACACACACAAAAGCAGGTATAAATTGGCGAAATCTGAAAAAGAGTTATCAATTGCACCAACACCAGTTTCCTGGTTTTGATACTGTACTCTAGTTATGTGAGATGTAACCACTGAGGGAAGCTGGGAGAAGAATATATGGCTTTCTGTTCTATTTTTATACATCCTGTGAGCCTGTAATTATTTCAAAATAAAAAGTTATATGAAAAAAGGAAAAAACTTATACAAACCTTACATATTCTAACCACCGAGTATTTTCCAATGAAGATAACCATTTCTCTTCAGTTTCTTCAAAAGGCTCTGTAATAAATATGGTAATTATACACAAATACATTTTTAAGTTTAATTTTATATGATCGATATGAGAGTTAAGAGCTACATCACAGTTACCAGTATTTACAAGTTGGCTTTAAGTGTCATGCATTTTTACAATGATAATACAGTGTAAACATCTAATAAGATATGTGATAATTTTGTAACAAAATATCCTCTAGGCCTCCACCTTCTTCTCTCTAGCTCCTTCAGTGAAACCTCAGAGAGTCAAACAATTCTGCCTCCTAAGAGCTAGCGGTTCCTGGCCTTCCCTGTCCAGCCCATGCCTTGACTCTGGCCCTCCCCACCTTCGTGGACAGCTGTCCAGGCCTCAGTCCCTGGCTTCCTGACTGTGAGTCTTGCCTGTTCTGCTTCTCCTCCCTTCCCCTGTAGCCAGTGCTACTTCTGTACACGGCTTGCATGGCTCTGGTGGCTGATCATTGCACTAATAAAAAATACCTTCACTGCCCTGCCTAGAGTGCCCATAATCATTCAAGGCACTGTTTTTCTTCAATACCCTGCCTCCGCCCTGCCCCTGCAAAGCTCTCCTCCAGGCAAGTGCCCACTCATTGCTGGAGACCTGCCGTAAGGCTGCCTCTCCTGACTCCCGGGTGATTTAAAGGATCCCTCAAGGAGGACCCACTTTGTGCCAAAGATGCTTTCATGTTACCCATTCCCCCAAGGCACACTGAAGCCACCTGAAAAGGGTTTGCTCAGATATATTAGCACTCTGAAGCTACAGATACAACACAGCTCTGTCTCATATCCATGTAAAGTCACCTATCTCAAAATATAATTTTGTGTATTAAAGTCTTAAGTTTGTCTCTGAGGCAACACAGTGTTCTACTTAGCAAATGGTTTTATAAAAGTATTCTATACCTTTCATGATTTGAAGGAAATATAACTGGTTCATTTTTTTTCACCTCTAATACAAAAAGTAGTTTAAACTTCATATCCTAAAAAGTTCTGAAATTCTCATACAATAATTCTTACAAATATTTCAATGAAACTCCTTAAATATACCTATTTCTAAATTTGTAAGGAACACTTTTCCTGACATGTCTCATATAATTTTGTATCCCCCTGTTCATTATATATAGAAAGTAAAAATAAAATTACCATTAACACATAGTTGCTTCAGTTTTACAAATGCTGCCTGTATTTCCTGAATATTAGGCAAGGTCTTGTCCAAATCTGATTTGTAAACATCACTTCTCTGTGGATGACTTTTAGTAATTGCATTACAAATCCTAATAAAGACAAAATCCTTTAGTCACTATTCATTCATTTCTTCAACATACATTTATTGAGCACTTACTATAAGCCAAGGTGCTATTCTAACAACTGGGGATAGAGAGATGAACAAGACAGGCAAGGCCTCTGTCCTCATGGATTTTGCATTCCTGGTGGTGGTGGGGTAAATAATGAGAAAATCTTGGGCTATGGTGGATGCCATGATGATGCCATCAAGTGACAGCAGACTACTTCAGCTTGCACAGTCAAAAGACTCCTCTGTGATGATGATACTGATGCTGAAACCCAAATGACTAGGAGCAATGCAAAGATCTAGGGGAGCATGTTCTAGGCAAAGGGCCAGCTGGTGCAAAGGCCTGTGGGGGCAAACAAGCTTGGCTGCTGGAGAAACCTAGAGAAGGCTGGTGGGCCTAGATGACATGCCCGAGGGAAAAAGGAGTGGAGAAGAGGTTGGACAAGGAGAATTGGTCCTATTTATGAAGAATAGAATAGCTAGGGGGGAAAAAAGGAATTGAAATAATTCTTAGCTTAATACATTAAATAATCGAAAGTGCCACTGGTTATAAGGTTTTGTAACTGACTCTCACCAACAGCACTGCAATCTTCCCTTTAATGGCAAAATTCCTAACTGAGCATTTAATCACCATGCATGGTAGTGAAAACAAGGCTTGGGGCATGACACAGCAGACAGATAATTTCTAAAGTAATTAAGGTAAAATTAAAATCCATAGAGAATGTGGACTTCTGTGAACTGCAGTCACCTCCTTTTCAGAGAACTGAAAAGTCATCTGAGGGACACTTGACTGTTAATTGTTTCAGCAAGTGTGGTTTTTTAAGTTACAGTACTGTGGAAAAAACCTAAGATCTGGTGTATCAATAATGGACTGTGATATATAATTTCTGAGGCTTTCTGAGCCTATTTTCTAAGATCTGTTCATTTGTTCCTCATTTATTCAACACGTATTCAATAAATATCATAAGTGCATCCTTGGTGCTAAATATACAATGGTGTGCAAAGCAAACATAATTCCTCACCACATGGAGCTTCTGGTCTAGTAAAAAAGGCAGTAATCAAACTGTAACACATGTATATCATTAAAAACTAAAATAAATGTTAAGAAGAAAAATTCATGAGTTCTAGAAAATAGAGCCATGTAACTGTTCTCGTTGTATTAACAATGACTGGATACTTTCTGGACAGCCCTTGTATACCTGTGAGGCCTGATCTAATTTCAGAGGTGAGGGAAGGCTTATCTTGAGGAAGTGATATTTGAGTAGCGATATACAAAATGAGTGAGTGCCAAGTAGGTGGGGATGGAGGGTGGGAGATGACATGGTGGCCATACCCTTGAGTTTGGTTTTGGACATAATAAGTTTAAAGGGCCTTTGAGACCTCCATGTGGAGGATGTCAAATTAGATTGGAGATATAAACATGCTGGTTACTAAAGTCACAACCCTGGGGGAAGTTCTTTCGGAAGGGAATACCGAGCATGAAGAGGATCTGGCCTTAGACAGACACTGTGTAATATGTGGAGAGACGGAGACAGGTGTGCAGAGACACAGAGTGTCAGCAAGGAGGAGGTGCTCAGCAGCAGTGTGGAGAGGAGCAGAGGCCAAGGGCCTAGACCATGTTAACTGATTGTGCTGCCCGCTTCTGTGAGCACGACTGAGAAGGGTCTTCTACTCTCATGACATGGAGTTTACTGAAGGCTTTAGCAGATGATGCTAAACTTGTCTGTGGAGGCTAATTAAAACCACTATTGTCACATCATAGACCTAACTAAGACACACTGAACTATAATAAAAGTTTGATTTATCCTAAAGTGTCTCATCTAGATATCGCTCTACTTTGAAAGTATGCTAAAGGAAATGTTATAGGAAGATGCCAGCAATGTAAGATCCTCAAGTGTCTTATAAACCAAAGAATTAAATTATAATTAATATAATTTAAATGTTATAATTTTAATATATTCACATTCTTTTCAAAATGGCAATTCTTGCATAGAATTTATGGTGCTGATTAATAAGACTATGTCTTTTGCTAGCTATTTTCAATTAGTAGGGAACTTACTTTACTTATTTATGCTAGGTACAATAGTCTAAAGTGACAATGCCCATTTCTTAATTACCTCTGGTCGATTTTCCTCTGCTGTAGCACATCTTTGATGAGGGCCATTCGCACAAGAGCACTGCCATTAGAGTGGCTCCAGCACCAGAGCTAGGAGAGAGGCAGAATCCTTACATAACTGTGTAGAAACAATGGACATTGGTATTCATGAAATCCAATAGAAATCACTTACTGGCATTCTTCTTCCAACAAAAGAATGGGAAAAGATCTTTAGATCTTGGTCTGCTAAAGAACTTGGCACAACAAAGTACTCTGGAAGGCTTCAGGGAAAAAAACAGATGGTACATATGAGTCCTGTGCTAAAGGCTCCTCAGACCCATAGATAATTAAACTCATTTATCCCCACTTTATGTGCACCCCACTCAGTGGCCACACGTGAGCATCATAGGGGCACTGACCATCCTAGACATCTCAGTCTAAACCATTTGTGATGTGGTCAATTATCACAAAATTTAAATTTACAGCATGAGAAAAATCCAAAGAAGATATCTGAAGTATTTTCCAGAATAATCATTCTAATCAAACATACATGCAATTGCTAAAAAGCATATCCACCTTTGTTCTCTTGACAGACTGTGGGTAAGGATGCAAACAAAACAAAACAAAGCCTCACACATTTTCCAAGACACTTTAGCTCTCTTCTTATCTTCCTCTTCTTCCCTTCCCCATCCCTAAAAGGTACAGTCTCTAGGACACTGACCAGACAATTACTAGCGAGTAAGCTCAATGTACCTTAAGACATCCTCCTACTCTCACATCTTTCTTCCCTGTGGCCCGGCAGGCTTTGTCATGTGCTTCCAATTCACATACCAGAGCGTACTGACCATGAAAGGTAAGTAAGTTCAGGGGAAGCAGAAGACACAAGCTAAGTGCTCCAAAGCACCTTTCCCAGAACTGTACTCCTAGAAGTTCCTAGTGCTAGATCAACCAGTAATAAAAGGGTGGTGCTTTTTTTTTTCCTTAAAAAACTGCTTATTTGTAGGAACAAATGAGGATTTCCATGATCTTAAAACAAAGCACTTCAAAAAATTCACAAATAATAAATGACATTAAACAAATTTGAAAAATAAATTCCTAGTCACTTTTGGAAGATTCTAGGGAACTCGTTCACTATTCAGAAAACTGTTAAGTAAAGGAGAAAAAGTAAATATTTATACTGCTTTTCTTGTATGAACTGTGTTAGATGATATTAAAAAGTTGGTGAGAGAAAAGTTTGACAGAAAACAAAAAGATGACAGAATTAGAAGATGAACAATCTTCCATGGACAATGATCCTCGCTCCCAATGAAAAACTATTTTTGGCATCTGACACTATGATATAAAAGAGGGACTTTGCACTGGATGGATCAGGCTGACAGCCCCTGAGCCCACTGGGCAGGCAGCATCAGGATGAGAGAGACAAAGTGAGCCAGCAGGAGGCACAAAGCACTGCCCAGTGAAACATTCTTGTTTGAAACATAAGTTTCAAACATTCTTGCGGACATCACCGACCCTGAGTCCAATTAAGCCTCTAGAGCTAACTAAAATTTAAGAAATATGGGAGACAGAGGAACATGTTAAAGGACAGGGGGATAAAACCTGCAATATCTAGAATGTGGAAAATTCTACAGAACAAAGGACCTGGTTTTGTCAACAAATATATAGTAAGTAAAAAGAGCTGGGGGGAGATCGTTGTAGATTAAAGGCCTAAGAGACACATTAAGCAAATTCAACGTGAAGACTTTGTTTGGATACTGATCTGAACAAACTAATTGTAAAAGATGGTAACAATACAAAATGCACATAAACACTAACAAGATTATTGATGACAGTAAGGAATTATTATCAACTTCTTTCAATGGATATTAGTACTTTGATTATGTTAAAAAGCCTTGATCTTTAAAATATTCATTAAAACATTATTTAAATATTACATTAACCAAAACTTAAAGTTAACGACGACAGCAGTTTGATTATTCTTCATAGGGAAGTCATTTCCAGCTATATATAACATCACTAAAATTGGACTTACCAAGTGGATATCATGTAACCCTCGTTGATAGAACAGACTCTCCACCCGGAAGCACCTGTCCTCTTGATTTCTCTGTCCCAATCTGAGTAAGTTTCAAACAGTGGAGTTTTGGCGCTGCCAACACCAGCTCCACTATCTCCTCCTCCTCTATCTCCTGAGGATATTCCATTAATTTTGGCTGTAGGAGAAAGCAATATTATTGATTTTGCTAGTCACATTTCACCCAGCACTACCTCTCCTCTCTCAGTGCCTCCCGTCACACACATACTCTCACGTGGCATTTCCTCCCCACTTCATCTTTTCAAGTCTCTCCGAGCACTGTCTTGCCCTCTCCATCTACAAATAACTCACTTAGTCTTGTCCTTAACCAGTTCTTTCCCAGCTCCTTAAATAGCTCCGATTTTTCTGTCCTACTGGCTCTCTCTCCTCTGCCTTCAAACATAAACAGAGCAGTCTTTCTAATTTCAGAACGACTTTCATTTGATCTTGTTGGACGACTCTGGCTACTGTGCTACACATTTTTCTTCCTTCCTATTATTGAATATCTCCCCAGATAATGAAGAATGCCTGCTGCCTATGATTCCTCTCCATTTATTTTCTCCTTAATTTTCTTTTTTTTTTCAGACAGAGTCTCACTTTGTTGCTCAGGCTAGAGTGAGTGCCGTGGCGTCAGCCTAGCTCACAGCAACCTCAAACTCCTGGCTCAAGCAATCCTCCTGCCTCAGCCTCCCAAGTAGCTGGGACTACAGGCATGCGCCACCATGCCCGGCTAATTTTTTGTATATATATTAGTTGGCCAATTAATTTCTTTCTATTTATAGTAGAGACGGGGTCTCGCTCTTGCTCAGGCTGGTTTCGAACTCCTGACCTCGAGCAATCCGCCCGCCTCGGCCTCCCAGAGAGCTAGGATTACAGGCGTGAGCCACTGCGCCCGGCCTCTCCTTAATTTTCAAATGCCTTCCGTCCCCACCATTCTAACAGAGACAATTCCTGACCCTCTCTCAGCTCCCTGCTGCAAATTGTGGGATAAATCCAAGTCATTACTTATTTTCTTCATACATTTTTCCTGGAAAAATGAATGCACCCAACAATCATCTCTGTTCTCAAACCCTCCAAATCTTTCATTTTCCTATCATCAACTTTCCATCTACCTGCTTCCTGCATCTACTCAATTTTCCTTTGAAAAGCTCACAAGGTTCCTTGTGCTTTGCTAAAGAGCTAGTCCCACAGAGAGTTCAGCAGGGCAAGCCTAGACTTGAATTTCCTTTAAGGAGCCTTCTCTTGAGAGAAGCTGCTATCTTCTGGGAGCATGCCCACAGCCTCTGGAGTGCCTGCACAGTGACTAGAAGCTGTTCCAACAGCCAGCCAGATCTACTCTGGCAATCTGGAGTGACAGATGGCACAACCTATCCTGGTCCAATGTCTTCCTGCTGCAGGCTGCAAATGTGGCAAGTCTCCCAGTTCTGCTGTGCTTGAGCCAGGCAGAGCTGACCAGGAGACACACTTCCCTGAAGGATGCTTTCACGGTGCTAGTCCTATGACCCAAGCTTTCAATCATGCCCATTTTCCAAATGAATCAAGCAAACCTAAACGGTTTCTCTTGGCCTTAGCGATCCCTCACATCACTTACCTGATTTTTATTTCCCATTATTCTCGATTCCCATTCTCCCCTGTAGCCATGCAAAACCCTTCATTGTCTCATGAACATGCCGTGCCCATTCCTACTGATTACTTATTAAATCCTGACACAAAACAGGTTATTTTCTGAGAATCCACCATGTGCTAAGGCCTCATAGTGGAAAGATGAGTAAGATTTTATCTCTATCTTGAAAGTGCTAACAGGACAGCAGGGAGTAAGTACAATAAAGACTGTGTACTGAATGAGCGCAACGAAGGGGTGGCCCCTAACTCTCAGTGGGGAGGAAGGCTGGAGCAGGAAAGGCTTCATGACTTGACCACATCTGAACAGAGTCCTAAGGAATGAGTCAAAAGCTGCCAGGTGGCTGGTGAGGAGCTAGGCATGCTAGGCAGAAAAGAACATAGAAAACATCGTATAACTGTATAACATCATGTAATTACAGCTAGATCATTAGGGATTCAAGAGGGGGTTGAAGAGAGGCTGGAAATTAGATGGGGCCTAGACTCTAGATCTATGCTGCTCAAAAGAGTAACCACTAGACACACACGTCCATTTAAATTTAACCTGAAATGAAATAAAATAAAAAATGTGGTCCCTCAGTTACACTGGCCACATTTCAAGTGCTTAATAGCCACAAATGGCAAGTGGCTTCCCTACTGCATGGCACAGATGAAAGAACATTTCCATCACTAAGCAGTGCTACTCTAGATTATGAAAGGTCTTATGTACCATGTTAGGAATTTTGAATCCTTCAAGTGGCATCAGAATTAGCCAGCAAATCTGATGAGAGCTCATTAAAAATTAAGATGCCAATTCTAAGCCCATATCCTGGGGTCCATTCCATCCCAGTGCTTTCTCTGGGATAACAACTAGACAGTGTGCAGGGGTGGGGGACACCTTGGGAGCTGTGATCTTTCAAGAATGCAAAACCTGCATAGAATCTTCAGGCAATTCCCAATCTAAACAGTGTTCAGAGCACCAAACACAGAAAGCTATTCAGTATTAGAAATCAAAGTAATTCATTATATGACTAAATTAAAGGGGAAAAGGCCTATATGACCAACTCGGTAAATGCAGCAAAACATTTGATAGAGTTTGACATCTGTTATATGATTTAAAAAAAACAACTAGCAAATGTGAAATAAAAGGGAATTTCCTTAACTTGATAAAGGATATTTATCAAAAACACAAAACAAACAGTACACTCATTAAAAGCAGGAACAGAAATGATGTCTGCTAATTTTATTAAATATTGAACCACAGGTACTAGCCACACAATAAGACAACCACCACCAAAAGAGAAGTGTAAAGAAGACATATACAAAATTTTAAGAGGTATGTAAATAGTCTGGTAGCATATCCCAGCTGATAGTCTAGAACTGAATACTTTTTGGGTTTTGAGTTGCAGGCTTTAATAAGCTAGGCTAACAAAATGCTACTGTTTATTAGATTGTTTCTCTGGCCAAATTTAGTCTCAAGATCTAACTTAGATAAATTTTCTGAACGTAAAGTGAGAGTATCTATAGGATCCTGTATTGTTTGCTACTTTATAGGTTTTTCTTGCTCAAATCCTATACATTTCTCAACAACTGGGACTAGGTCTTTCATATGTTCTGTATCTTTTTCAATGAGAGCTGAATGTGTAACATATACTAAATCTAGCTTTATAGTGTAGAAATTCTAATGCTTTCCCAAAAGTCCCAAGGGCCTGATACCAGTAGCTTGCTCTGTAAGTGGATCTCTATGAGGGGTTGCAGCACCAGACTGACAAAGTGGGTCACCTTAGGGAGACCTGCCTCCCTTGACAGCCACCTTACTGAGGTTTTATGGTATAGCTCCTCAGTCGACTAAAGTGAAACCAGATACTAAATGCTCTCAACTGTGGCTATCTTCCATGATAAAGTTCAGAAGTCTAATCCTAGACTGTTGAAGTTATTTTAGAGTTTCCATTTAGATGGCTCCACTGATATTTAGAATGGCCTCAAGCAACAGGAAAGATAATAAAAGTAGTCAATATATAAAAAGAAAGCCTATGACTTTGATGATACTGTAGAAATTAGAAGTCATAAAGAAAAAAGAAGTTAAAAAGAGAACTGTGACCATTAATAAGTTCAAAAGAGGAGAGCCAACAAAGTGGTTCTTAACTGGGAGATTCTGACTTTGTGGGCCTGTGGTGGAGACAACATGGCTGGATTTCTAAAGGCTTCTAACATGATACTGACGTTCAGAGACAATAGGATCGATCAAAGTCATTTATAGCTACACTGAAAATCTTGAAAGAATTGACAAGCAACAAACTTTAAAAATTCCTACACTGTTTCGAATGGATTGTGTACCCTATGTTTTTCAAATAAGCATTTATCACTGCATTTGGAAGCATTATCCCTGTCATGAGGTAGAGCTGCTGACACTGAGGCTGCAGGTAACTCCATGAAGTTTTCAATGTTTTAGTCCAGAAGCATAATCTGACATCTTATCAATTTTATAACAAAGATGAGTCTGTACTTTTTTGAATTATTTGCCCAATAATCTGACTGATGAAAACAGAGCCCTAGTGGTTTCTTTCAAGTTAAAACAGAAAAAACAGAATCATTGTTCTTGTTTGAGCTAGTGCCTCTTGTGGTGTTTGTGTATAGCCTGGGGTGCTACACATCTTGCTGTGATTCGGAATCCTCACAGAAGTATTTGGATGACAGCAGAACTTTTCAGATATGGCTTTTACTCAAGTGATGCTGGATATGAATGAAAACCTGAGAATGCCTAAGGCCTGCTAAAAGATTTTTTTCTTAGATAATTGCAGGGGAGCTCCTCCAACTTTAGATCTTAGTTGTGGAAACAGCTTTGTCACCTACCTGCCTGCAAAAAGGACTTCTTTAATCCAGCCAATGAATCAAGGTGTCATCCAGAAGTTCAAGAGTGGATTATTGGGCATCTTTCACTCACAAATTAATGAATTCTGACTGCAGTGTATGGAAATTTCAGGCTTCTTTTGATCTTAAGGATGCAGTTTATGCTTCTGTAACAGCATGGAAGGATATTAAAGGAAGTCACCCTACAAGGAATCTTAACAAAACTATGGCCAGCGTTATCTTTATGAAGTACTTGTCAAAGGAGGAGTCTGAAAGATGTACTATAAAAAAGTATTCCTGAATATTTTAAGTATTAATCATCAAATTTTATCAACAAGTTATATGAGAATAGAGGAAGTAAATGGTAAAAATAAAAAAAATCTAGTAGTGGAAGACCTATGGTTTATAAACTATTAAAAATATTATAAACCAGAGATGCCACCAAAGAATGAATAAAAATATGAAAAGTAACTTAAGCAGGCAATAGGTTATCAATTTTATAGGAAGTTTACTGTGCCCGAGTCATTATATTAATACTGAACTTATGGATCTGCACACTGGATGAATAATTTCTATCAGAAAAAATGTAGCATGAATAACTGGTTTGTGTCATAAACAAATTTAGCAGGAACTGAAGACATCCTGCTCCAACTTTTATACCTTTTGAAATATTCATTTCAGTGACTCTCTAGCAATTCTAGGTGAGGATGTTATTGAAGATAACCTAGTGCTTACTATTGTGTAGCCTGATGATGATCCAAAGGGGTATTTTCCTGACTAATAATACAGGATCTATAGTACTTTATTTAAAAAAAAAAAAAACATATAATACTTTATTTTTAGACAGTAAGTAAATTTACTTTATATTAAGAAATAAAATTTTAAAATAACTGTATTCCTCAAGCTTAAGTTGTAATTATGTACATTTGGATAAGAAAAATTAAGTTACAAATACTCAGGCTAGGCACAGTGGCTCATGCCTGTAATCCTAGCACTCTGAAAGGCTGAGGTGGAAGGATTGCTTGAGCTTAGGAGTTTGAGACCAGCCTGAGCAAGAGCCAGACCCCGCCTCTACTAAAAATAGAGAAATTAGCCAGGTGCGGTGGTGTGCACCTACTATAGTCCCAGCTACTCAGGAGGCTGAGGCAGGGGGATCACTTGAACCCAGGAGTTTGAGGTTGCAGTGAGCTACAATGACACCACTGCACTTTATGTGGGGTGACAGAGTGAGACTCTGCCTCAAAAAAAAAAAAAAAAGAAAAACAAAAATTAAGTTACAAATATTTGTTATCCAATTTCTATAAGCATAGTACTTTAAGAGCTATTCTGCAAGGCAGTATTTTCATACATCATCTTTATAGTGCTGATAGATACTTTTTCAAGTAATGAAAGTGTATTTATACTACATACATCTGAAAATATTGTGTACTGATACTACATTTTAATGTATATATAATATAGTAATACTGTAATGTACAGGTTATTTAAATTACTACCATATGTTTTCAGCAACAAAATATAAAAATCCAGGATGATTAATAATTTGTAAAATCCAGACCATGCTGGATGAATGGATTTTTCATTATAAATACACAACTGATTTGTTTTTCTTGCTTAAACAGTGAGAGAACATGTGCTTCAGCTGACTAGTCGATGTGCAGTCAGTAACCCACAAGGGGGCTATCATTGTTTTTCTCTATCCTTTTAAGAAATTTTTAAAAATGGTTTATTAAAATTACATTTGTAGATAAACAGAAAGTACAAGAATTACATGATCATCTGTAGTTTTCCTTGGTGATATCATGGCTGTCATAAATGTGTAAAAAAAACTATTTACTTTTACAAAAACTGCCTAGTATATACCTGTCCTTTGGATAAAAGCTCATCTTCCTTTCATCAGTGTTATTCAGAAATAGAAAGTCGATTGTTTTGAGAATCTTAATGAAGTCCACAAAAAGTTTTTAACCACTTTAGCTTTTGCATGAAATCATACCTTGCCAGAAAAGATGATGCTTTTAACTAGTTTTAGTTTTCTGCCAATTTTCTTAAAAGATAAGATTACTCCCTAACTCAAGCTACTAATTAAAAAGGGTAGGGGATATATTCCTCATCATAAAATATAAGCCAATGACTGGAGGTAAAACACTTAACATGACCATCAGCCTATAGGTTCTTCCTGAATATTTTTTAAGAAATAATCTGACAAATTATTGGTTCTTTTAGTATATAGTGCTTACTTCTCCAATAGGTATGAAGCTAATAATTCTACAATCATTAAAACTCACATATTTGGAGGCTTCTGATAAACATAAGAGTAAAATTTACACATGTAAAATTAGTCACAATATTTAATATTTTCATATTTACCTGAATTGTGGTATTTTTTCCCAACATATTCAAATGCAAAGAGTAGCTGGAGGTCTGTTGGCTGGGAATAATGAGCTATTGCAAGGCATACCTAGGAAAAATTCTACATTTAGAATTTGATTTTAACACACTTAGTTAAATGAAACGTACAACAAGGCCTTGGTCACTGGGAGCATCATCTTGGGGCAGTGATTATAGATACTATTTACATGTTTTTCTGTTGATCTAGAATATAAAAGCTCCTTAAGGCCAGGTATCTCATTTGCTCTTGTGCCCCCAAGACACTGTTTAATCTTTAGTTAGTACATGGCAAGTAAATATTTGCTAAGCTGAATTTTAACTGGAAAGTACATTTATTGCAATAAATATACCTGAAAACTAAAGAAGCATTCTCCAAAAGGCAGTGACAACAAATCCACTCAAAAAAGAAGAAAAAAGTTTCATTTTTGGTGGACTGTAAAGGCTTGATATAAGCCATAAAATTTTAATGTTTATACCTCATAGATTAAAAATCTAAACTTAATACAAAAGCCATAATCACAAAAAAATTAAAATTGGCAAGAAACTCAAAAATACATGGGTGGCTCAAAGAGGTATATCAAAAACTGTTTAAGTTGAATGATTTCAAACTGTGTCCTATAGTGTAAAAAGTGTGGGCTTTCAGATCAAACAGATCAGGGCTTGATCCTAGCTCTATCAAGTACTTGCTACATAACTTATGTGAAGTTAATTTCTCTCTCCCAGCCTCAGTTTGCTCATCTGTAAAATGAAGATAACATTAATACCTAGCCTGTGGTACAGATTAACAATCTTGATGCATGTTTGGCCTTCGGAGGAGTTCCATACATGGAAATATGGCTGTCATTCTCAATTGCTGTTGAATGGAGTGAAGGATGGTGCTCTTTGCTTACAAACCCTGCACCAGAGGAGAAAACACTCTTCAAATGAGCAAAGAAGAAAAAAGAAATTTAAGACATATGCAAGGAGAGAAAAGCAGAAGATCTTATTTAAAAAGATTAGATATCGTTTAGAAGGTAAAGCATTAAGTCAGAATGATAAATTTTGAAAGCGAGCAAGCAAGAAAAGTTTAGTTGTTAGTTCATGTCAAATTAGTGGTGTGGAATGAGTTGATGCAAATTCCATTAACTAGTAAGTATGTGTCAGCTTGCTGCTTAAACTGTATCTTAAAAGCCTTTTATATAATAGAATAAGTGTTTCCTGTCTTATTCAGTTAAAATATACAACCAAGCAGATAGAAGTTATCACTAGTTTTGACTAAAAAAAAAAAGGTTCCTGAAACTTATTATCTCAATTTCTCAATGCCTATAGGAGAACTTTCTACGATGGTTCCACTTACAAAATTTCAGAGCGGGTTATCTACATTCCTATTCCTAATCTGTTCAACAGTCTTCCTTAAAGCACTTCTAGCAGCACAACTACTGAAATTTGTACCTTGGAAAAATCCTCAGCACTTCCTATTTCTTTGGGCACCATATATAGTTTATAAGCTCTGTTGTATGATTCTCTAGAAATTTTTCGTATTTGTCCATTTCACTACACTGCCACAGCCATATCCTCAAGCCACACTCACCTCTGTGGGCTTCCCTACAGTCTAGAAATCCACAACACTTAAGAATTCTCTTCTTAAGATGCAATTTTGACTACTAACTCTGTTCTTTTGATAATCTGCTGTGGTTCCCAGATGTCTGCTTAATAAATCTCTTCATTCTTGGATTTTTCACAAAATTGACTCTCCTCACCAGATATCCCTAACCTTCCCAATATTCCCTCAGCAGTCTCTGGTCAGAGAAAAATATGTTTGCACACATTCTGTCTGACTTAGTCCCGGCCATCTCCTCTGCCACACTCTTTGCTTAGGAAATCCTAGCAGTCTCTGATCAGAGAAAAATATGTTTGCACACACTCTGTCTCACTTAGTCTTGGCCATCTCCTCTGCCACACTCTTTGCTTAGAAAATCCTTCTATTCCTCTTAGCCAACCATGCTTTCCTGGAAACTGTCCTATCTGTTAATCAGTACTGTCTTCATAAACCTTCCTAGACCAAGCCAATTTCAGAGTATTAATTCCAGAAACCCTATTGTTCCCTCCAAACAATGACAGTTCCAATATCAAATGTCTCTTTAGTTAATTGTGCTGATATAGCTATACTTTCAAGGTATTCTCATAATAGTTATGAAGTGGATGAAAAGTAGGACATAGGTAGTTATTTCTTATACTTCTACCATCAAGGTCGATTCATTAAGGGTAGATGCCACATTTCTCATTCATTCAACAAATATCTACTGAGCACCTACAATGTCCTAAGCCCTGGGGATGCAGTGAACAAAACAGACACCAATTCCTGCCCTCATTAAGCTTACATTCTAGTGAAGAAGACAGACACTAAAAATAAACAAAAATATAGTAAGTTACATAATTTTAAGTGCTAAAGGAGAAAACAGTACAGTAGGGAAGGAGAATATGAAGCATTATACTGAGAGAAGAGGGAAGCGGGTTAAAAATTTAGAGGAGACCAAGAAAGACTTCTTTGCACAGACTTGAGTAAAGATCTGAAGATTTTTCCATTTTGTAGCATCACTTCAGTAGCTTTCTGAAGGTGCCTCATGTCTAATAGTGGCTGCACTAAAATACTAGTTGACAAAATGAATTACTAACATATTAAGGAAAATACTCCAAGCCAGTAATACTAGTATATCACATTCTCTAAGACAATTAGAAAGTAGAAACAATCTATACAAAACAAATTTACAGATCATTGGTTACAGAATATATTTTTTGTGGCCACAAAGCAAAAAAGAAACAAGGCTATCTCCAAGGCAAAACCCAACACAGCCTATTTTTTAAAAAGCCCCTTAAAAATAGCATAATATCACAATAGGTTAGGAAACAAATGAGTATGTCTAATAGCCTCTACATTTAAAGAGTCTATAAAAAATACTATAAAAGTGAAAGTCAGCATAGTTACTTCCACAACTGTTGATTTTTTGGGGGGAGAAGAAGCACAGCTTAAACTAAATTTATTGTTTTACAGTAGTGTAATTATAAGTGTGTATAATTTATTTTTGTATAACCTAAGTAGTGGTATCTTTAGGTACATACACAAAGGCACACAGAAACTTATGTACCTGGATTACATTCATGCCACTGAGAAAAGAAAGCCATGTGCCCTCTTCTTTGCGCTTTTTCATACACACTATTTAAAAGCCTATATTCAAATTCCTACCTTCCATTCTTAAGAGTTTTTGAAAGACTAAAAAAAAGTCTCGAAAAATATTCATTTTCATATAAAATTATTCTGATTTTGCAATTACTCCTTAAGCATAAAAAATTTTTTGGAAACTGTATTTTTCAAAATTACCTTTGAAATAGTTCATTTGTCCCGGCTGTCACAGGAAATGAAGAAAATATCGGTATTAAAGACATTAAATTATGGTAAATATTTTATTGGAGGAAAAAAAGTAAACTACTTTTGAAGCAATTTTTGGATCAAGGCTGATATTCTTCGCCAGACAGGAACCAGAAGTACCACAGTATATAGCTTATTCTTTAAGACCAGCTGGGGGTGTAGCACTAGAGAAGCTCAAATTCAGGAGACACTAAAACCTCATTAAGTTCTATTGCATTTGCAAACAAAACTGGTTTCCTTAATTTCTGTAGTCTGAAAGCCACCAAGATTCCAGGCAAAAATGACAGTTCAGAAAAAGGCCAACTTGTTCTTTAGATGAACTGAATTCACTTCTAGAAAGTATGCCTAAACAAGTGGTTTACCAACTAATTTGAAAATAAAGTGATAAATCATTGGAAACAACCTTTTTCTTTTACCCCTCAGTTTTGAGCAAAGGTTCTTAAAAAAAAAAAAATGGTGGTTCAAAGTTAGATGTCCAATTCTGTATCATCAAATTCCTACACCTTTCCCAAATATCATTATTTTCCTGTGACAGCCCAAGGATAATGAGGATGAATGTTAATGGACACAGGTGCACAAATTAATCTAATTTTGTCATAATACTATTGAGACAATACCAACTAGACAAATCAGAAGGTTTGAGAGCAACAATCAACAAAATGTGAATAATTTAGTATTTTGAGATTTCATTTTTCAAACAAAAATATAAATGCCTCAGGTATTTTGAAACTAATCAATGGTTTGCCCACCAGAGAACTCCAAACACACATCTGGTCATTTTAACGCAACATATAAAATCAAAGCATTTTCCAGAGAAAATTTATCATTCAAAGCTTCCAGGAGGTAAAAATAAGCCATAAATTCCCAACTGCTACCTGATTTTAGATGAAAACTATCACTCGAAATAAAAGCGTATGCCAGAATTTTTGTTTTTAACTCATGAAGTCAGGAAGGTTTGGTAGCCACATGACTGAACCCTCTGCCTTTGAAACATGTGAATCAAGGGAAAACTTCTCCCCCCATGACTATACAAAAGACAAAGAGTATTTCTTTCGAGCCTGAGGTAACATATTTTTTATATTTTAACACTGGGGAAGGGATCTCTGTCAGAAACTTGGTCTTGGAAAAGGGCATAATATGCAGTAGCTTGTTTTACGTGGACAGTTCAATGAGGCCCTCTTCATCACTCACCAGTAGCACAACAAACAAGGGATACCCTGAATTTCCAGAGCACTATGTTTTGTTAGTCTGGCAACTAATCATTTGTGTGGAAACATCTTTTGTGCTGCTACTTTGTACCATTACTTAATTGTCATTTGTTCATGCTTTATCTTCTCAACTAGACTTAAGCTCTTTAGGGCAAGAAACTACATCTCATCCTTATTTCTATCTTGCAAAATTTAGCACACTGCCTCACGCATCGAAAATTACCAATAAGTAAAATAAATGGCTCAAAACTAGACCAAATAATTATGTTTCTACATTTAAAATGGTGTCATTTGGAAGATACTGTAAGAGAGTGGGAGAGAATTAAACTTTCTGAATGAATATTGGGCCAACTGTATAAATTTTTGCCTTAAAAATATGTTGTCCTAACTCAATCTCACAAGTTCTGTGGTGTCCCCATTCTTTAGATGCTATACATATTGAAGTTTCACAAGCAGGTTCTTGATGCTTTGATTAAATTACAAGTGCATATTTAAGCTCAAGAAAGTGACTTGGTTCAAAATATTTTATGTATAGTCTATTACCTAATTAATTCTAAAGTCTCTAAGACTTGGCATCTCAAATTGGTAAAATGCCAAAATCACGAACAGCAGAATCAAACAGGTGAAAGGGCCTAAAGAGTTATCTAGTTGAATTTTCAATAATGCAAACTGCTAGGAGATGGCTGTATAGACTCTGTTGGAAAACTTTCACCCATAGAGTCCACCATCATTCTACTCTGCTAGATAGTCATTCATTTTCAAGGATTCATCTCATGTGTTCTTTCCAGCAGAAGAATCTGTTGGTTACAGTTCTAAAAACAAATCTTCCACCTCCTCATCAAAATATACGAAGAAGACAGCTGCCTTAAGATCTTTCTGACAGCCTCATTTTGATATCCACAGAAAGTTTATGGCAGTCAGTCTACTGACCATGGATGTACCCACTGCTTGGTGGTGCAAAGGCTATCTAAGATCTGAGAGAAAGCAACTTTCTATTTCACTAAGACACAGTTGTTCAATTCCCAACATACAGGAACAGGCTTTCTTCTAGAAATTCTATTCCTCTGCATTTGTTACAACATAGACTGGAACTGAGGGGCATTAAGTGTACAAGTTTCACACCTCTGGTAAAGCAAAACATGGAATCAAAGAAGTGGAGATTTTTGCCCTTGAATCTTACTCTATGAGTAGGTGAACATTCCCTGGAAGGCAGGGAAAAATAAAGCAATCAGAATTACTAGCTTTGAGTTGCCTCTGCCAAATCAATTCGTAAGATTTTTTTAAACCATTAATAATTATTAGGCCCCTCTCATAACTATACATTTACCTAAACCTTATGTAACCTAAGTCTAGCTTTCAGTTTGTTGGTAAAATTCTATAGTTCTGAATTAAAAGCCTTACCAAACCTTAATTGCAGTATAGCATCAACTTTTCAAACTTTTTAATTAAGAAAGAAATCAACAGGCAATGGTCTTAATGTAAAATATATATTAATTTCCACATGAGAGTCTAACATTTCAGGAGCTTCAGAATATAGGAGCTACAGAATACTTCAAAACAGCCCTAAACTAATCCAGGGAAATCATTCTATTAATATTCTTGGCTTTGACTTTACTTAAGGAGATATCTAATGATAATGTCCTCTAAAAAAATCTGAGCAACTGAAAATGAAAACTTCCATATAGAACTGAAATCAGTAAACATAGTGCAGAACCCAGAACTTGATAAAACTTAATAGTATTACCTTTTTGGCACTTTCAGGACCTGATTCATCAAAGCGAAATCTGACAATTCTGAAATCTTTACAATAAATAATTAACTCTGTCGGATTAAACTTTAGTTTCTGGTTGGGGCCTAGGACTTTCTGCTTCCTCTTGTGGTCATTAACTAAAAAAGAAAAAAGTCAAAGAAAAAAAGCATAAAAAGTCTTTCTTGTTACTCACCCTTTAAAACAAATTTAAATGAAAATAATGGGAAGGTCACCCATTACGTGAGCACTGCTTCTCTGGAATCTTTCGTATTTCTCTATAATTCCTAGAACTTGGGAGATTGGTTTTAACTTTGCTTCCAAAGATGTTTTAAATGATTCTTTGCATAAAATCACCACCATTTAGATACATTTAATAATTACAATTTTAATTAAAGAGAGGACAAAAGCTTAGAAACCATAAAAAGCTATATATTCTGCATCTTCCTTTTAAAATAATTTCTTGACTTATCCCTCTTTCCATAATGTTCCTGAGATTCAAAAAATGGTAAAAGTAAACTTACAGCAATAAAACTATAACCTATGTATTTGAGAAGTATGACTTTTAAAACAATACTTCCGGAATGGAATCAACTTTTAGAAAGAGTGTGTATGGAATGCTACATACCTATGACGATTTGTTCAACACACGTTAAAGGGACATCATGTTCACCAAGAAGAAGGTTTCTATAATGGAATTTCTGAAATAAAAAATTATGTTCACATTAATTCTTTTCCCAATAACTTCACAATGGTAACACAAGTCTTACTTATAAGTGTGATAAGAAACTGTGATGACTTTTTCTAAAAAGCACAAAAAGCTTTTGTCTGTGTATCTAGGACCATTCTAAGGATATAGTATCGTAGAACACACTTTAGTAGTAAAGCAAGAGTAGAGAGAAAGAAATATATGTTATGTTCATATTCCTTCTACCTTTTTCCCATGCTTTTTGCTTTGGGCAGATGGAAATTAGGTTAAAATGTACATAATCCCATAATATCTAAAATATGGAATATTATCAAGCACTTCATATACAAACATTTACATGTCTAAATCTGGATGCGCTGGCTACAAAATAAAGAAAAAGGGGCTCCTAGGTCATCAGGTTTTAATGGGTAAAATCATGCTTGATTTTCACAATAGAGATTTCAGAGTAGAAATAACTATCTTTTTAGAGCAGAAAATCTACTCAAAATAAAAATCTTTAGAGAAGGGTTTTGGCAAACCACAGATCATTTTTTTCACTTGTTAACTAACACTTTATACTAGTTTTCAAACTAAGGAACTAGTTGACATTATCAATCTGCTGTCAGTAGGGCATTGGTTTATTTTTCTTATTAGCAGTACTAGATTTAAACTATGTCAGGTATTTGCTTCTCATTTATAGTGAAGTCTGGGGCCAGGGATCATAATAAAGCTAAAAACAAAGGGAAAAACACAAGCCTAAATCCAAATAAGCTAGTGTCCCTACATACTAAGTATCTGTCAGTGCCTTAAAGTTAGTCTAAATATACCTAAAGAAAATTGCAATAAACACATAAATATACAGAACATTAAATATTATGGTAAATTAACGAGTAACTACATGAAATATACCTTGTTAGATCTTTTAATAAAAGTTTACAGTTCATTTGTAAATATTTTATGAGAGAACAATTACTGTTAATAATAAAGATCTGGGGGTGGATGTACGTAACACTTTACAAATCAAAGGAGAAAATAGCTGAGAGAAAAGTTCAGGATTTTTAAGTTAATCAAATGAATGCCTAAACTTTTAAAAACCAAAATAATGCAGAACTATTGCTTTCCAATAAGAACATAAAATAGCAAAAAGGCTATTAAAACATTTTATCAATATTTTTCTTCATTCTTCTTAGAACTACAATTTGGCTTTTTGAGAAAAGAACTAATTAGTGTAAAAAACTATGAAATCAGAAAAATGTGTAGCAATAATAAGATTTGCTAAATACTTAAGTTTTTCTCTTTATGACTAGTGAAAAAGGGTATCTTTATTTTTATAAGCGGGTTAAAAGATGTGAAAGAGGGAATAACTTCTTTATTGAAAAAGATATATAACTGGTAATCACAGAGGATAAATGAAGCAAAGTGACTTAAAATAATCTCACTAATTATATTCCTCAAGCAAGTCCTAACATTCTTCTTAAACTTTATTTTGAATTTTTATATAATTCATTTCCAACATAATATTAACCACTTAATAATTTTATTATAAGTTTTCCATATGTGGTTAATGAAACAGTATGTACCCCTTAGAGTTAAAAGCCTTGATACAATGAAACAGTGCACAAATAAAACATACCCGTAATGGCATCGGGTCCTCCGTAATAAAGGAGATTTTGAAGTTAGTGCATATCAGCTTTCCCCACAAATCGTACTGGCTTGTGTCTGTTGCAATGCATTTTCTCACAAAATTGACTTCATTTACGACAATTTCTCCTTATTAAAAAAAAGAGAAAATATACCATTCTGTGAGCTACAACCATGCCATAAAATGTCAAAAGTCACTGTATGACCTAGAAGGCATATTTCATGATGACAATGATGAAGATAGTAAGAACGAACATTCACTGATTGTTCACAAGGTGCCAGGCACTGTACCTGCTTTATGTCCTTGCACAGCAGGAAGAGTAACAAGGTGTTCTCCATTTGTAAGGTGTAAAAGTGACAAAAATATACATAAAAAATCATTGAAGAATTCAAATACAGAAATTTAAATCTTCTAGAGCTGCAGTTCTCAATCTCCTGGCAGCAGACCAATATTGGTCTGTGGCCTGTTAGGAACCAGGCTGCACAGCAGGAGCTGAGTGGCGGACCGGTGAGCGAGTGAAGCTTCACCTATATTTACAGCCGCTCCCCATCGTTCACATCACTGCCTCCCCGTCTCATCCATGGAAAAATTGTCTTCCGTGAAACTGGTCCCTGGTGCTGTCTAGAGTTCTTTGAACAGGAAGCTTGCTGACACCCATACCAGAATCTGGGCTACTGAATATTTCACCCTTTCTCCCCTCTAGTAAATCTTAGCTACCAATTATAAAACTTAAACAACTAAACTAACCACTGCCAGTGGAGATAGAGGACATACTCCTGTAACACTGACTTCCTTCCTCACACCAGGACTATTGGCTCATATAATATAATCTTCATCACCACATACCGTGCCACCTTTCTTACCTAACCAACTCATCCAAAAACAGACCCTTTAAAAGATGCTACAAAAATTCATCCAGTTCTAACACTTATAATCCATATGTATTTCTCATGTATGTCATTATACTCAAGCCTTTCTTCTCTGGAAACCTGATTCTTTTACTGATGCACAAATGTAAAATGTCAAGCCAGTGAATGCAGAGAAAATGCGACAAAGAAAAGGAGGAGAATGCATTTAACAGGTCCAGAGGATGGTAAACCATGGCCCATGGGCCAAATACAAAACTCTGTTTTTATAAATAAAATTTTAGTAAAACACAGCCATGCTTATTTGCTTGTGTACTATCTATGGCTGCTTTCAGAGGACAAAGGCAGAGCTGTGTACTTGGCAGAGGTCTTATGGTCCACAAAACATAAATATTTACCATTCAGTACTTTATAGAAAAGGTTTGTTGATCCCTGAGTCAGAGATGGTTACTTAAGTGACAATTCTTAAAATTATGTGAAACAAGGCTTAGAAGATGCAATTAGGCACTTCCTGTCTAGAAGGTGAGAAGTGAAGCAACTTTTGAACTGAAGTGCTTTCAAACTGCAATGTCAGAGCCATTTCAGGGAGCTTTGGAGGACCACTCAGAGGAGTGATGAGGGCAAACTTCCTGCTGGAATATGTCTACTAAAGTCAAGTCAAAAGACTCCTTTCTCACCAAGAGCTATAGCACTTTCTGCTGAGAGCTACAGCACTCAGCAGAAAGTAAATATGGAAACCAGATCCAACTGCTATACCACTCATACTCCATCATCAAAAGCAAAAGCACAAATCTGTGAATGAACACTGTAAGGCTAGATTAGAGTCTGAGATAGCAGCATGAACCCATGTTTGCCTTCTATCTACCGAGAAAGATATAGTTACAAAGAGGTGTGTATACCAGGTGTCCTCAAATTACAGCCTGCGGGCCACATGTGGGTGTTTTTGCCTGTTTGTTTTTTTTTCACTTCTAAGTAAGATATGTGCAGTGCGCATAGTTTTTTTAAAACTATAGAACGGCCCTCCAACAGTCTGAGGGACAGTGAACTGGCCCCCTGTTTAAAAAGTATGAGGACTCCTGGTGTATACAAATGGGTTAGTATACATGTGTATATTTTCTAGCTCTGTTCTCTGAAAGGCCTAAAAGCAGTGACACTGCCAGCAACAATATGTACATTCACACCAAGATCTAAGTTTTTAAATACCATTCTCCAATAAAAGGAACCAAGGTACCCTAAAGCAATGGCTAATTCAAAGGCTGGGGCAAGGGAAACAGGATGAGTAGGGAGTCTCTGGTAGTGCCAGAATGCCAGAAAATAAGGCAGTAGAAATAGATGGGGAGAGCATTTCAAAAGGACAGACGAAAGAACTTCCAATGGCCAAAGTTGGAACAATCTGTACAACACAACAAAAGAAACAATAATGATGGATTATAATGTAAAGAACAAAAGGAGTATCCACACTAATGCAAACAGATGACTGAATAAATACATAAAAAAATAAATGGGGGAGAAGAGACAAATCTTCCATATAGAGGAATCCCAACCAATAACAGTATAAGGAATAAGGGAAATAGAAAATCACTATAAGAATACCACAGTAAAGATCGAGAACTGCCATGGACTAAATATCCATGATAACTGAATGACTGCTGTAAGCGACACACACTGACGAATGCTAAAATTCATGAGCAAAACTTTAAGGAGAAACAGGTTATTTAATAGGCAAAAAGCTATCCCCCCCAAAGAATTTACTAATTACTGTGCTAGCTTTAACATATGTCCACAAATTCTTGATTCTCCTCCCTCTAGGAGGTGGAGTTTAATTGCCAATCCCTTGAATGTGGATGTGGACTTAGTGATTGCTTCCAACAGAGAGTGTGGAAAAGGAAAAATAGTGACTTTTCAGAGGTGAAACGTGACAGACACCACTTTCACCTGGAGTGACTGAGGTTAACATCACAAGTGACCAATCATGTTGATGTCCTGTGCCTTCTCACGTGATGCAAGGACAAGGGTTACAACCTCTGTGATAGTCTGCCCCCAAACCTCTGCCTCATCAAAAGAAAACACTAAACACACCCAAATTGAGGGACATACTACAAAATAATACCTGAATAAAACTCTTTATAAGTATCACAGTTTTGTTTGGAAATCTGAGTAAAGAGTATATACAGATCCTTCCTACTGTTATTTGCAACTTTTCTCTAAGCCTGAAACTATGTCTAAATTTTAAAAAGTCAATTTGAAGAAGTTTCTAGAGGGTGCTTTGTCAGAACAGAGAAACTAATTATAAAATTATTCCTATTTTCTTAGATATATTTCTCTGTTTAAAGAGCTTTTATAGGTATTATTTGAGGAGAAATGAAACCTACTTCAATAGGAAGAAAAGTATCAAGGTCTTGAAAGACAAGAAGAGATGGAGTAACCATCACAGACTATGGAGATATGATGACTAACTGCCATGTGGTATACTGAATGGGATCCTGAAACAGTTAAAAGACACTAGTGGAAAACTAGGGAAATGTGAATGAAACCTACAAAAAAATTAGTTAGTTAACAGTATTGTTAATTTCTTAGTTTAGCTAAATTTACCAAAGTTATATAAGATATTATAATATTAGAGAAGCTGAGTGAAGAATTCATGTTAACTCTCTACTCTTTTATATATTAATAACTCTATAAATCCAAATTTATTTCAAAATAAAACTACTAAAGAAAAAAATGGACAAAACCCCCACAAAATTGACAAAAAAAAAGATAGGTACTCTCTGGGCTAAGGTCTTTTCAGGAAAATTAAGTGTCACACAGCTTTTTCTTAGAGAATGGAAATGAGCCTCTGGCAAAGAGCAAAGAATAGCAGTAGGGAAGGACAGAGGGGAGAAGAAAAGGAGGGCACTTCTGGGGATATGCTACAACTCACTCTTCATATTATATTATAAGCATATAATTAAATAGTGTCAAGTTAACCTGACTTGAGTTTTATTTAATAACACTAAATTTTGTGCACATAAAACTAGTCTTTAAAATAGGCCGGGCGTGGTGACTCATGCCTGTAATCTTTGCACTCTGGGAGGCCGAGGTGGGCGGATTGCTCAAGGTTAGGAGTTCAGCTCTGAGCAAGAGTAAGACCCCCGTCTCCATTAAAAAATAGAAAGAAATTAATTGGCCAACTAAAAATATATACAAAAAATTAGCCAGGCATGGTGGTGCATGCCTGTAGTCCTAGCTACTCGGGAGGTTGAGGCAGGAGGATCACCTGAGCCCAGGAGTTTGAAGTTGCTGTGAGGTAGGCTGATACCACGGCACGTTAGGCCAGGAAACAGAGTAAGACTCTGTCTCAAAAATAAATAAATAAATAAATAAATAAAATAAGTGGATCACGTATGGCTGTCTGCTCACATGACAGTTACCTGCTCAAAACTTTAAAAAAAGGAATGCTGGAGAGGAGCTGTCATAAGCTATTGTCATGTACTGTACAACAAAGTGGGCTGGAAAATCAGCTTATTGACAGGGAAGCAAAAGAATATACAAAGTGGCCTCTTCCTAGATAGGATATATGAAAGGAAGAGTACCAAGACTGTTCTTGTTTATGTTTTAAATTAGTAACCCTGAAGAGAAAACTCATAATCAAAACTTCGAAACTCCAGGGGACAGGAAGTTTTCATTGAGACTGTACTCCAGCATTTCTCCTGCAGTGAAGGGATGGTGTGCTAGAGGATGCTGGCCTGTCTCTGAGAACCTGCCAAGCTCCTTCCTGCCAGCTCTGTGCTCAGCACCATCAGCCATGGTGGGACGATTTGCACCACCAAGAACTACTTGGCACACCACTGCTGGGCAGCCAGGAGAAGACTCACGGAAGATAAAGCAAGCAGGAAATTAACTTCAGTGTGGGGTAAGCAAAAAATATCACAGAAAAACCTTCTAAATTACACAATGAGCCAAGAGTCTCTACTACAATGTGGGAAGGAAATCAAGAAATTATCAAAGTTTATTTTCTCAAGATCCTTTCATCTGTACAGATAAACAAGAAAGGAAATATAATTAAAGTTAATAAATCTCAAAATGGTATAGCCAGGGAAGTTTTTAACTTCCAGAGGACCAAAAAATCATGTTGTATTATCTCTCTCAACATCTTACACATTTAGAAAGTCAATACATGTTTGATGAATAATCTTTCCCATAACTTTTAGCTTAGAAAATAGAGTAAGACAAGTCTCACTGTGCACAGTGGCTAATTTAACCTACAGAATGTGCATAGCCCC